AGTTTCTCTGGCTGTTTTTTTGGGGTTTCTCTGGTTCAGTTGTGTGTTTGAAGTTTTTGGGGTTTCTCAGATTTAGCAGCAGGAGTGCTGCTGCTGCCCCTTGCTTCAGTGCTGGGTGGCTGCGCCCGTGAAATCCATAGGAAAACCCAAGCTTTTGGTGAACCTCCTGGAATCTTCACCTCACGGGTGTTTTCAAGGTTGCTGTGGGTAGAGTTCAGTCTTTTGTGCATGTCGTTTTCTATTAACTGGTACTCAGAACCGGCTTTTACACTCTCATGTCCTCTGCCCTCCCCTGCCCTGTCCCTGTCCCTGCCGTGAGCCGACCTTGGCTGCGTCCCGGCCAGCGGGATGCTGCGGAAATCTCACATACCTTGAACAAAAAGCAGTGCAGGCTGCTGTCACATCTGGGTTTGTGCAGCAAGACAGACTGATGATACCATTAGGACAAAGCTTCCGAAGGTTTAGTGTTTTTCCTTTCCTTTTTTCCTATTGCAATTTGCAGTATCTCTATAAAAATTCCCGTGTCGATTGAGGGGTTTTTGGTGTAATCGCTGACAGTGTTTTCCAGACTCTGTGGGAGGGCAGAGCTGTAGGTGGCTGTGCAGACCAGAGCTTCTGTTTTCTTGACTTCCTTTCCCTTACAGCTCTGAACCACAGTGTGGCATTTCAGCGGGGGGTTTGGTGCTAAATGTCCCTTTGTTGGGAAAGGTCAGTCACAAGGATGTGCTGGCACCGATGCAGGGACTGGCTGTGACAGCGTGTCGGATGCACTCGTGTTCGAATTCCAGATTATCCCTTCTTGTAACAAAATCACAGAATCACAGAATGGTTTGGGTTGGAAGGGACCTTCAAGACCATCCAGTTGCAACCCCCCTGCCCTGGGCGGGGACACCTTCCACTACACCAGGTTGCTCAAAGCCTCATCCAATGTGGCCTTGAACACTGCCAGGAATGGGGCAGCCACAGCTTCTCTGGGCAACCTGGTCCAGTGTCTCACCACCCTCAGAGTGAAAAATTTCTTCCTTACATCTGATCTAAATCTCCCCTCTTTCAGTTTAAAGCCACTGCCCCGTATCCTGTCACTACACGCCCTTGTCCAAAGCCCCTCTCCAGCTTTCTTGTAGCCCCTCTTAGGTACTGGAAGGTGCTGGAAGGTCTCCCCAGAGCCCTCTCTTCTCCAGGCTGAAAAGCCCCAACTCTCTCAGCCTGTCTCCAGAGCAGAGGTGCTCCAGCCCTTGGATCATCTTTGTGGCCTCCTCTGGCCCTGCTCCAGCAGCTCCACGTCCTTCTGCTGTTGGGGACCCCAGAGCTGAATGCAACACTACAAGAGGGGGGTCTCAGCAGAGTAGAGGGACAGAATCCCCTCCCTGGACCTGCTGGTCACACAGTTAGGGTTTAAAGTGATGAGGAAGTAGCCTATTTCTATATTCTATCAGAATTTCAGGGATGTTTGAGGTTTTCCTGTCTGTGGCTGCTGGGGCACACAACTGGCCAGAAGGTAATGCAGGTATGCGTGTCTGCGTCTGAAAGCCTCCAACGTGGATGTAGGTGAACGTTGCTGTTTTGAACTTGTTTCCCTAACACATAATTTTTCAAGATATTGATGCAGTTCTAACAACAGTTCCTAAGTTTCTCCCACAAAAAAAAAGACGGTTGAACAATAAGTGAACATTATTCACCAGTAGTTAAGACAATGTTATGGTGCTTCCACCAACTTCACTACGACATCCAGCAAGCCCTTCCCGTGTCTGCTGCCCTGTTGCAGAAACACCCTCCCCGAGTATTGCTGCTTAGTGAGCTCTGAAGGAACGAACAATCAGTTTGGGTAATAAAAACGACATACAAGAGGCAGAAGCTGTGATTTATTTTTGGAGATTGAGTAGAGTGGCAAGCAGCACTTTAAAGGTCACTTGTCTCAAATAAACCTTATCTCTCCCTCAAATTTAAAGAGATATTGCAGCGTTTCCTTGCATCTAACCTGCATTAAATGTCTTTTACAAGAACATATTGCAGAGTCCAGCCGGAGCATCGTACATGCCTGTGTGCCCTATAGGTGCTGGAAATGAGTGGGAGTGCTGGCAGGGGGAATGAAGATCAGTTTTGAGTGATGAATGACTTGGTCAGAAATAAAACCCCACCAGCCTTCCCAAAGGTCTGAGTTGATCTTCAATGTGTTGTTTGTGAAAACGGCATACAATGAACATATGCAAGTTTTTTTGAGAGCCAGGTCTTGTTCCAGCTGTACTTCCTAACTCAGGTGTATAGAACAGCCTCCATCACAAGAATCTCAAAATTTAAAGCTGATTAGGGAAGAAAAACTGTATGTGTACCTGTGTGGGTGTCACTCTGAGCCAGAATGGGCTTCAGTAGCACCAGTTTTTGGTTGAGAGCAGGCATCTGCTCTCCTTCTCCTGGGAAATGCCACGGGCTGAGTTCTGCTCTGGGTCCTGCTCCTTCTTTTCCTGGAACCATTTTGAAAGTTTGACCATCATTATGAATCTGGATAGCAGGGAGCTTAAATTAGATTTCCTCGTGTCTGTATTATCACAGCCAGCGTGGGACTTGCTCCTGGACAGGAAGAAATCTGATTGAAGCTGAACTCTGAGCTGGTCATTGGAATAGGGAGATTGTAAAGATGGGGACAGACCTAGGACTCTGCAGCAAAACTGTGGTCTCGTTAAGCTGGGAGTAATGAATCTATGGAGGTTGATTTAGTCTTGATTTACTAAAACTCCTGAATTTTTCACTTACACTGACGCGTGGGTGGCTGCCAGCAGTCCTGCCTGGCGGTGTGCCGGCGAGCCCTGGGCCACTGCCGGATGTCCCCGCTGGCGAGCGCCGCGCTGACCTTGCTGGGACGTGCCCCTGCATCCTTCTGCGGCGTGTTTGCGGGGGAGCCGGCGGACGGAGGAGCGGTGTTCCCCCACGGCACGGGCTGCCGAGCGCGGGACGGAGGTGGGAGATGGGGAAAGCCATGGAGCAGCCTCCATCAGCACCACCGAGATACCGGTGGCTTGACTAAATCGCTGCGGGCTTGAAGGACAATAACGTTGGGAGGTGGATAGGGCTTTTCTGTACGTGGCACAAAAACGTGAACCGTAGGAAATATTCATTTGGATTGAAAAAGGGACCGGCTGGTGATCCAAATTAAAATGAAATTAAATCTTAACTTTCCTCCTTGACTTTTAGACTTTTTTTGCTGTTGTCGTTGAAGAGGTCACATCTCGGTGTACGTCAGCGCTTACTGCGGGCGCTGGCAGAGTGAGCCAACCTTTTGGCCACTGGATTGAATTTTGTCAGCTGAGTGAGTGGTTTGACCTTTTTGCTGTTCTCAAATCCTGAGAATAGATTTTTTCAGCCTGTAAAACCTTTTGGTGGCTAAACATAGGCTTCAAAGCGTTGTGTTTCCTTTGTATTTGGATCAAGTTCACTATTTTATACCTATTTCTTGGATTTATTTTTTTTTTTCCTGTGGGACTTTGTGAAAGTTTATAATCTCTCACTTTTCAAACTTTCTCCTTTTCCAAATACATGCGAACACAGCTATTAATTTAGAGGTTGGATATTTTAGACCTTCTTTATGTGAGTAAAATACATACAAAACTAGAGTAATGTGGAATATTAGGATAGTAAAAAAAGAGTTTTGTAGTCTCTCACTTCCCAGAGTTACTTTGCAAGTAACAACCTGTGATGATTTTTAGAGCCCACAGGATGGTCGGGTTTGAGTAGCGATTGCCAACGAGAACATCACTGGGAATTACAGATGACACAACATCCTCCATGTTCCTCCTAAGAATTTTGATAATTAAAATTATTACTTGTGTCAGAGGTGCTCTAAGCTTTTTTTTTTTTTTTTTTTTTTTTTTTTAATCCTGGAGGCGGGAAAGGTTTGGAGGGACCTGGAGTGGAGCTTACAGTTTCAGAAAAGTGTAAGAAAACAGTAAAGAGCTTCTCTTGTGTGCCTTTCAAAAAATGGCCGTAAAAACGTGGTTCCAAATGAAGATCTGGTTTCCAGTGCTTACAAGTTTAGTCAGTATTTATAAAGTTGATATTGGATCAACAACATTTGTACAATATTGTCTTTTCATTCATAGGAGTGAATATCTAGTGACTGACATGACTGTGGGAATGAAGAAACCTTTTTATATTGATCATAATTGATGCTTTCAGAGTAGGTTTTGACTCTTTTTTCTGCATCAGAATTTTTTTTTTAAAGAATAGATCAGAATTTTTTTTTTAAAGAATAGTATACACATTTTATCATTTATCATAGAATCTATGATTCTCTGATTCAATATTATTTCCATACATTTGAGTGTAAATTAAAAAAATACTAGGACTATATGTGGCAGAAAATAAATGAGCATCTGAATTAAAGGACTGGGTTTTTTTTAGTAATATTCCATGTGAATGATTCTGCAGAAGCCTACTGCTGATTTTTACTTTTTTTCAGTAGATGATGTTTGTGGGCTTCAATCATGCACTAATAATTATTATAATCTATATACATGTGTTCATTTGCAGATAGATTTATGGACTGGAAGTGCTATTGTACATACATGTACCAAAAATGCATAATACTCTTTCTGTGTACTCTTTTTCTTAAAGCAGATGTAAGGTGTTTTATGGACCAAAACTTTTGTTTAGATCACGTTACTTTTTGTTCTATATTGATGTTTCTAAAGGTTATTCTTGAACTAAGGCACGAATTGATTTTATAAACAGGAATCCTGCTTCCTATTGGATTGCAGCATAGGCTCATGTTTGGAACTGTGGGCGCTTTGGCCAACATCATCTGTTTGTCTCTCATTTTCCACACTCTTAATCCCGTTGGAGGTGCAAGCTTGGTGTAAATTAGCTTTTTCTCAAATTGTATGAGTTACAGGTGAATGGTCAACTGTGGAACAAAAGTTTTATGAATGACTTTGTCTTCAAATGAGACTTACACATCTTTTTTCCTTTCTTTCTCCTGCCTTTCCCCAAATCCATTTTATTTACAGCTTCCAGCTGATCTTACCAAGATGCATCTTACGGACAATCCTCATCCCCAGGTGACTCACGTCCCGTCAAGCCAGTCGGGATGTAGCATTGCCAGTGATTCTGGGAGCAGCAGCCTCTCTGATATTTACCAGGTAAAATTGCATTTGTTTCTTATTTTCCCTTCCTCGATACCAAATATTCCATAAACAAAAGCAGTGGCAGTTTATCCAAGACTTGCCCTCTTGATGCTTCTGCGCATCCCTGTGTTGCTCAGGGGACTTGCCAGCTCCACAGCCACACAGGAGGGAAACAAACTTCTTGTAAAGCTCCTTTTGTTGCTTTTCATGTCTTTATATACTGACAAGTGTGCTGTTGCTTTCAAAAGTCACATTTGATGATTTATAGGGTCATTTTCTTTCTTTCTGAAACAGAACTAATTCCTTGAAATCATTCTTTTGTTTCAAATACCTTCCTTGATTATTTGTATTTATTGTTAATAACAGATGTTCTGCTGTGCAAACAAAAGCTTGGTAATAAATGCACTTTCTGCACCAATTGACTGTAGAAATTCTAGTGTTGCTTGCTGAGAAGTTGACTGAAACCCAGGGATAACTTTCATTTGTTTATAGATAATATACTTAGTAAGTTACCTGCCTTGTGTCAAAATGCAGAGCTAATTTCATGGGTTTTTTTTCATTCTGGTTATGAGGATGCTCATCTTGGGTCTGTCTTGATCAGTAATTGCACAGCTCTTCCACTTTTGAGTTGAAATCTGACTACAACACTGAGTGTATAGCAACTCTTGAGCATGATGTAGGTGTAACTTGATTTTAGACACCTATTCCCTCAGGTACTGTCTGGGTACTATTTCTTTACACTAACCAGAAATTAATTATGTATCTTACAGCAAAGCATTGCTAGGTAACTTTAAAGCATTACAAGCAAAAATCCTTTTAGAACATTAAGTGTCTTTATGCTTTTTTGTCCTATTTAATCTATTACCTTACTACTTCTTTGGTTTTACTTACTGTCAGCTAGGTCAGGAGTAGCTTGCACCCCGGGAGTCTTTTAAAAATGCTCTGTGAAATTCCTGATTTCTGAGAGGCAGTGCTGGTAGATATTTTGTTCTGTATCTTGATTTTTTTTTTTTTTTTCCTTTTAAATTTTCTAAGTCAACAGAATTGATTTAATTAGTCAGAGTCACTAGAACTAGTCTGTATATTGTACCTTAACATCTCGTCTATTAGGATGCTGATGGGCAGTTTTCCTGTCCATCATCTGCCTGCCTGTCTACCTGAGTAGTTTGGAGAGGTTGCTCTAAGTGAGAAGCACTTAAAATACATTATTGATAAAGAAAGTATCGTTCCTGTACTGAGTGAATACTCTAGCACGTGTGGTTAGTCATGTTTGAAATGCCTTATGGCTACTTTTCAGAAAATGCCAAAAGAGTGTAATTGTTAAACAAACGAAAATTATATACTAGAAGAAATAACAGAGTAGCATATTTATATGCACTGTAGCTTATAAACAGTGGTGAAATGTATTTTTGTACTCTAAGGATTTATTAATTTACGAATGTGAAAATTACTGCAGGTTTTCTATTAATTTTGAGGAGTGAGGGCCTTTCAGGTAGGAATCTCCTTTTCAGTGGCATTAGCCCGTCTGTGTTTGCATCCTGCTGGGAACGTGGAATCTGGGAATTTTGCTGAGAATTCCATCCATCCAGGTGGTGTCGGAGGCAGGTTACCGCTGTTAGGCTCGGGAGGGATCTCCAAAGATAATATTGCAGCAGTGTGTGATCGTAGCTACAGTGTCAGTAATCCTGAAAGATGCCATTGGAGAATCAAGCATTCGATAAGCTGTGGGTGAAGATAAGATGTGCAACAGGCATGTCATAAGGGGGGGAAAAAAAACCCCACCAACAACCTACTGTTGTGTTTGTTGGGTTTTTTTTCCCCCTTTTTTTTTTTAGTGAAGTTTTCCCATCTTGTTCTTGTATGCATAATGTGCAAATAGTAACCTGACAGAAGGTACTGGGTGTTTTATGGGCTTTATTGCAGCAGCTATAGCAATTTTGGAGAAGTCTCTTACTGTTTGTCACCCAGTTAGAAGTGCAGGGCTAGCAACTGTGTAATAATGTTATGGCACAGCATTCAACATAGCATTATTTTGCAGTGACACATCGATAGAGACAGATTTTGAAAGCAGAAAGAAGAGTGTTTCCCTCAATATTCATCATGAGATTAGGAAGGCAGAGAATATCTTTGATACTCGATAAACCTAAATTCTGAGAATAATATATTGGCTCAGTAGCTGAGAGCAGTTTTGGCACATTAAAATACAGCTTTTTGCAAAGTGTTTGGAAAATGCTGCTCTGCTTTTGCAGTCAGCTTCACTTCTCTTACATGCCAAACTCTCTAGGAGCATCATTAATGTCAGCAGAGGAAGAGCATTTTTGAATGATTTTGATTAACGTCGCCTTGAAGTGACCTTTTGAATTAATGGTATCTTAACATTAATTTTTACAGTAAGTAGTGCAAATGTAATTCCAGACTAGGGAAATATGATTAGAATAGTAGAACCAAAGAATGAAACAATTTTTTATTAAGATTTGGAAAGGGTTTCCGTTCGTCTGTGTACACTATATTCATCGATAGTGTTGAAATGAGGTTTCATTTGTTCCAGCTGCCTCTCAGCCCAGGATGTTAAACAGGAAATGGTGAACACAGAGCTTAAGGTGAGAGCAGCAGAGAAGGAGTCCTGTCTGTAAGCACTGCTGTGAACACATTGTCTTAAACCCTCAGTTAGTTGCAGATAATTGGGAAAATAAATTTATGAAGATATTTTTCTCCCTTCTCTTGTACTGTTACTGCTCCCTGTTGGAGCCTTCAGTATTTCTGAGTTAAAGTGTTCAAATGTATGTTATTGCAGAGTCCAACTTGCTTGGAATACTGCAGGGGAAAAAAGAGAAAGTTATTCCCTAGAGTTTTTGAAACAACTTCTTTAAATTGCTTGAAGTGGGTTTACTTAAAAGTTTTTTTTCATTCAACCCGTTTCTGACAGTAAGTTCAGTTTCAGAAGAGCTATGGTGTTCCGACAGAAGTAGGGGAAGCCATGTGGTTTTGCATCCAGAGTTGACATGAGGGATTCTACAGCTGCTTTGGCCTGTAGTAGGTGTCCTCAGGGAAAAATAATTCAACAGGTATTACAGAGTGGAAACATCTTTCTTTGCCCTTTCACGGGGCAGGCTTTAAGGTGGCCAGCCAGGGTAACGTAGGTAATCCAGATCATACCTCTGGATGTAGGTGTGCTATAATGAATTAGTTGCAATACTGTTCTCTTAACAACCAAGAAATTTGTCTATGTTTTCTTATTTCTGTAGTTCTGTCAGTGGTGTGGTTAAAGTTTCTCTCTCTCTTTCTCTTTTAAAAAAATCTTTTGTTTATCACTTTGGCAGCATATACTGTTTGTGGGCAGCAACGTTACTGCCCTGCACTAACTCCCATTGTGGTTAAGGTTTTGATATTAAAATGGATTATCTATAAAATATGCATCAGTGAGTGAGCCTTACTGAGGATTTTTCTATCAATTCTGAAACAAAGCTTGGACATTTTTCCCGAGAGAATTGACATGAGGGGAGGGGGAAAAAAAAACCCTCGCTCTTAATAGCAGGTTGCATCAGGAGCCATGGGTACTAAAATACATTATCGTATGGATTTATTCCAGCACAGGAAGTCTGTTACATGAGGCATGTTTAGTACCTTTTTTTTCTGTCAGTGTATGCTTTTGATGCACGTCGTGGTGGAATATGTGTGGTTATCACCAGAACTTCACAAGGCTTGGTTCTTAACTAGTCTTGGGCTTCCAAAGCCTAGGGCCATGTACAGAGAGGGCATCTCCATGACCAACGGTCGGTGAACATGGCTGAAACGTGTCACCTGGCAAAATTTGCAGTGCTGTGGATAGAGTAATAACAGTGAGATTTTAAAGAGCAAACAAATGCTTTGACAGTCATCTGGTGTTAGCTGTCCAGGTGATCTACGTGGCACACACCACTTGGGTCTGTCCCTGCTGCCTTCTCAGCAGATACTCTTGCCCTACGGACCCAATCCTGAAAGTCTGTGTTTGTGTAAGGTTTGAGGAGTGCAACTCCTGGTTTCATTTTGTAAATTAGTAGTTCATAAATGTTTCCATTAAGGATGGTTTTTTGACAATGGAATCAGCTGGGACATCGTGCTTGGGAAGAGCAGCTGCTTCTGCAGACGGCGTTAGGAGCAAAATCCTTCCTGTTCTCCCGGCACTGCCTGGCCTGCCAACGTTTTGTCAACCATCTGCACGTGATCTTTGAAACACAGCTTGAGGACCTTCTCTTACTTCATAGCGTGATCAAATCAGAACATATTTATCACGAAAAGAGATTTGTTTATTGTCCTATGTAGGACGTACAACGAAAATTTTAAAGAATCACTTTTCTGTAGAACCGATAGCCTCAGTTTTGTTATCTTAGCTTGAGGTTACCAAAGCAGCAATTAGTACTGTGGTCTGTCTTACTTTGCCTGGAAAAATTGATATACATTCTGGCTGTTTAGATGAAAAAATGCTAGAAAAGTCCTTGAATAAAAGGCTGTACTGATCATGTGCTGCTGAGACTCTCCAAGCACAATTTGCGCTTGGGCTTAAATCCAAAACTGTTAGCGTGAGCTACATAAGCCAGTAAAGTGATGTAATGTAAAACAGATTTAACCCTATATATATCACTGCCCTCCTCTGAAAGAAATATTTGTGTTAAATCATTGAAGCCTTATTTATTAGCGTTGCTGGCTAATTCATAAAATGAGGACAGTCTCAAAGGTCCGAGGTTCTATCTAAAACTCAATATTTTTCTTTCTCGTGAAAGAAGGAAATGCTGCTCATCCCTCGAAGCGCTGGGTCTCCCATTAGCCCATCAACATGGAGCGTGTGGGCAGATGGAGGCAGTGCAGCCTGCTGTCATTAAATCACTTCAAATGAGTGTTGGTTTTTAGGAGGCAAGGAAGGCAGGAGACCAGCATAGCTGAGTAGGGACCTCCTGGTCAAACTACAGCACAAGAAGGAGATGCATCCGGTGGATCCAGGGATGAGTATCCTGGGAGGAATATAGAGACACTGCCCAGATGAGTAGGGTTGGGATCAGGAAAGATGAAGTACAGTTGAAGCTGGATTTGACAAGGGATGTGAGGAATACCAAGAAGGACTTCTACAGGTACATTGGTCAGAAAAAGAAGATTAAAGAAAACATGCTCTCCTCTCCCCCATAAATAAGACAGAAAGAACTAGTGACATGGAGGAAGATGAAGTACTCAACAATTTTTTTGTCTCCGTTTTCACTAGTAGTCACTCTTCCCACATCTCTCAAGTCCCTGAACCTCAAGGCGGGGACGGAGGGGGGAAAAAAGTCCTTCCCATGGCAAGAGAAGATCAGGTTTGAGACCACCTGAAGAACTAGAACATACCATGGGACCCAACAAGATGCATCCCAGGTTCTGGATGGAGCTGACTGATAAGTTACTCCATCTTACTTGAAAAGTCCTGGCAGTGAGGTGAAGTCCCCAGTGACTGGAGAAAAGGGAATAAGGCTCCGGGGAGACCTTATCGCAGCCTTTCATAAAGGCTGTTTCTAAGAAAGACTTTTTACCAGGGCATGTAGCTACAGGACAAGGGGGAATGGTTTTAAACTGCAGAAAGGATAGATTTAGCTTGGATATAAGGAAGAAATTTTTTAAGATAAAGGGGCGGAGACACAGGGACAGGTTGCCCACAGAAGTTGTGGCTGCCCCGTCCCTGGAGGTGTTCAAAGTCAGGTTGGACGGGAGCCCGTCCTTTATTTTGGAGGTTTTGCAAACACACAGAGTATTTGATGCATTCATTTGTCATCAGTGCTTTTGTAAAGTCTCAGGGATTTATCTGAAAGTGAAAGTGAATGTGAATATTGTAAATGAGTTCATTAAAAAAAAAAAAAATCCGTTTTTTGCAAGTCTCTATATAATTGCCTTTGAAAGTGAAAGTGAATATTGTAAATGAGTTCATTTAAAAAAAAAATTCCGTTTTTTGCAAGTCTCTATATAATTGCCTTCTACTTCTCAGTGACACATCTTGTAGTTCAAATTTTTGAATTTGAACAGAAAAATGATTTGCATACTAGTTTAAACTGAAAAAAAAGTGTTTGAGCAACTACTCTGTGGAAATCGAAAAGTTGGAACTACTTTTAATATTTTTTTTTTGCCTTCCATCTGTTTGGAAAGTTATTTTCATGCAATTACATCATTTAAACTTTACATAAAGAACTATTGCAAATGATTCCTGTGTGATTCTGTGTTTTGTTGCCAGTATTGCTTTCTCTTTCACCGTTGCTTCTTGTATCTGCTGAGTGTGATGTCTCTATTGCCATCTATTGATGACAGTAGAAATGTGTCTGCAGGCATTGGGTAACGAATGGTGTTACTGAATTGTATTATTATTTCATTAATAATGCAGATTGTTGAATTGTGAAAAAACCATTTTGTTTACATGAGTGTGCAAGAAAGAGTAAATGCTGTTAAATGAGAATCAGCCAAGAGAGGAAATGTCCTAGGATGTTAATTTTGTTTTCAGAACTTGTTATCATAATTCCTGTAGCACGATGTTGCTTTATGCCAATGATACGTGTTTGTACTATCCTGTAACTGTAGATTTCACTGTAAGATGCTTTTTTCAGTGTTGAGAAAGGACACCATTACTATTTCTGGTTTGAATGGTTGGTCACAGAATTTCTTTTGTTGTATTAGCTGATTAAGATAAGACCATAAATCATAAAGCTGAAGACCTTGAACTCTGTCTGATGGATGTTTTCTTTACAGGCTACAGAAAGTGAGATGGGAGATGTTGATTTAACAGGTCTTCCAGAAGCACCTGTAGACTCCGAAGATGAAGAAGAGGAGGAGGATGAAGACATTGACAGAACTTCAGATCCACTTCTAGGGCGAGATGTTGTGCGAGAGTGCCTTGAGAAAGAGCCTGCAGATAAAACTGATGATGATATTGGTGAGGAGAGAAAAAAAATCTTTATGGAAAACTTTATCATATAACATCTGTGAGAGAAGCGTATCTGAAAACTGTTGAATGAGTTAATGTTAAGTGTATATCCTCATAGTTATGAGTGATGCCTTCTGGAGATCACTTTGCTCTAGTGATACTGTTAATTGAATGATTTCTCCTCTTACTATCTGAGAGACTATTTTTTCTGAGAAAGTGTTTTAAAAAACAGTCTTTCAGATGCTTCAGATGTTAAGTATTGCAGTCGTTGTATGTGTTGATAATAAGGGAGAGACAGGTAGCAAGGTAATTTTGAATGCCTGAAACTGTTGAATTAGTTATTAAATGTCAAAGAGAATATAGTATTAACTGCAGTAAAGATTTATGTGATTGTAAACAGGAAAACATTTAAGATGAAAATAATTTACTGCAGTGTTTAACTAGAAATTGGCATTAGTTTAATAGTAAAATTTGCGTTGTGCTGTACCTCAGATTACTTCTCTAAGTGTTGGAAAATCATTTCGTGCTCCTCTCAAGCTTATAATTACTGTACTGTAAGGGTATTTTTAATTTTTCTCAGTGTTTGAAGCTGAAGTGCTTTTGCAGTGCTGCCGTGAGAGTCCATCAGAACACCACCTGGCTGTAGTGCCGAGTTCCGGCTGGTGATGACAAAATGCATACTGGGCCCATTTAGCCACAGGCACTAATGGAGATTATAACACCACTGAGCAATTTTTCCATGAGTTTAACTGAGATTTAATATACCTATGGAGGGTAAGGTATCTAAGGAACCCCTGGGGGGCTTGCAGTCTTCATACCAGTGTTTCCTTTGTCTAACAGAGCAATTATTGGAATTTATGCATCAGCTCCCTGCCTTCGCAAACATGACTATGTCTGTGAGGAGAGAACTCTGCTCAGTGATGATATTTGAAGTGGTAGAGCAAGCAGGAGCCATCATACTTGAAGACGGCCAAGAAGTGAGTTACTGCTTACAGGATGATTTGGGTGCTCTAGGCGGTAGGTCAGCAGGGGCATCTGGGGGTGAAGGGCTGGGAAATCTGTATCCCATCTCCAAGCCTCTCCTCACCTGAAAGTTAGGGAATTCTTCTCTCACTGTGACCCGATTCCAAAATCCCCAAACCTTAGCCCGTCCTTTTGGGAGGTTCTGCCTGTGTGTTCCTGTCTTGTTCAAGACTTAAACGTGGCCAAGTAGAGACATAAACCAGCATTCAGTATGTTGTTACGAGCTAAGTGCTAACATCTGGAGGGGTTTATTTCCAAGGTTATTTGTGGCATAGAAGAATGCATCATTTCCATTGGTAAAATAACTCTTATAATGTAGCTTCTTTAAAGACTGCTGTGGAGGGGTATCCTTGCCCAACAATGCAGGTGTTATAACACAGATGTCTAAATTAGGAGCATTATCCATACGTATTCCGTGGGAGGAGACATGTTCAAAGTGATCAGTGGTCAGGCTCCCAACATAGCTGCTTGGAATCACTATCTCAAAACCTCTCTTTGTCCTTGGATCGAGACATCTGGAATGGCCAGAGCAAGTCATCCCTCTTACCTTGTGTAGTGACCAAGTGTGGGTACCCAGGGGAAGAGTGTTCCCTCTCAATAAATGGTATAAATATATTGTAGCAATTAGCCCACTGATTAAAAAAGCAATCTATCCATCAGTGTTCCTCCCTGCTGAATTAGTTCTGAAATGAATGAAGAGTGCTGAAAAGCATTCTTGTTTCAGTCATCTTTGTTGCTGACACAGTGCACCCTTTTAGTGAATTAAATGTTGCAAACCTGTGGTGACAACAAATTGGCGACTGCACAAAATAAGCCTTTCTAAGATAAGAACATTGGAACAGCTGATAAAAGTTGTTGAATTAACTTCACTTTTTAAATTTGGGGTTTTTTTTCCTTCCTCTAGCTCGATTCTTGGTATGTTATTTTAAATGGCACAGTGGAAATCAGCTATCCTGATGGGAAGAGTGAGAGTCTCTGTATGGGAAATAGTTTTGGGATTACTCCCTCTCTGGACAAACAGTACATGAATGGAGTGGTCAGAACCAAAGTCGATGATTGTCAGGTAAGATTAGTTCTATAAAACTATCTCATATTTTTAAACATCTACTAGAAGAAAACAGACTGCTTTCATCTTAAGGTGTGATCTTTATTCCAGGAGCAGAAAAAAGGAGGTTGGTATTTTATGGGTCAAGAGTTCTGCTGATGTTGAGTTAGTCGTACGCTCTTTAGTAGCTGAGATTTATTTCACACTGCTGTGAGGTGAGAAACAGGAACTTCTGCTTCGTGCTGGAACGTAAGCTTAGTCCACCCCAGTCATGCTGTGTGTGTGGCTGACGTGCAGTAAGAACAGATAAATAGAAAACATCCATTTCCACTTCTTACAGGCTTTGTCCTCTATATCTTTATCTTTATTTGAACAACCTTTTGGAGATGGAACAAGGTGGCCAGTTTTATCTGTCTTCTAACTTTCTCTCTCGTGTAGTTGGGCAGAACAGAGTGGGGTTGGTATCAAATGCTGTGCTGTCGTGATTGTGTCGAAGCAGCCCAGGGACGGGGATACAGTCATGTTTTGGATATTTATGGGGCCTACAAGAAAGCTGGACAGGGACTTTTTCCAAGGGCGTGTAGTGATAGGACACGGGGAAATGGCTTTAAACTGAAAGAGGGGAGATTTAGATTAGATCTAAGGAAGAAATTTTTCACTCTGAGGGTGGTGAGGCACTGACACAGGTTTCCCAGAGAAGCTGTGGCTGCCCCATCCCTGGAATTGTTCAAAGCCAGGTTGGATGAGGCTTTGAGCAACCTGGTGTAGTGGAGGGTGTCCCTGCCCATGGCAGAGGGGTTGGAACTGGATGATCTTTGAGGTCCCTTCCAACCCAAACCGTTCTACGATTCTATAATTTATTAACGATCCCGTGTTGTTTGGGGGCAGTTTGTGTGTATAGCCCAGCAAGACTACTGGAGGATTCTGAACCACGTGGAAAAAAACACTCATAAAGTGGAGGAAGAAGGAGAAATTGTAATGGTAAAGGAGCACAGGGAGCTGGATCGCAGCGGAACCAGAAAAGGACACATAGTTATCAAGGTGAATTTCTTTCTGTGCTTTCCATTAATCTATTAAATGTTTTTCAGTAAATAAATACAATTTTGGTTTCGTTCTAGAACACACACTCAGTTTTATCTGTCTCAGCTTAGAAAAATTGATTGGAAGGAATTTATATTATTTTACAAATTTACATCCATCTCCCTTTTAATACAGTTAGACCTGTAGCAGCTATATTGAGTTTTGTATTGGGAGCACCTTTTGTGCATCTTTATATATTGACCTGTGTTTTGTAATCTGGAAGAGGAAATTAAACCGTTTATTAAAAATAAAATTAGGGAAGTTACTAATTGTTTTAGCCAGGTATTACCTATGCAAAACATTTGGGCTGAGAGAAGCATGAAGATTTCATTTAAGCACGATAGTGTGTTTTCTCCCGAGTTTTCCATAACTGAAATTTGGAAAGGGACCATACTGTTAACATGGTTATGTGAAGATACTCTCTAGGGAGAGGTAGTGATGAGAAATATCAGTTATTTTTTGTGTTTAATTTTTAAGGCAACACCCGAGCGACTCATCATGCACTTAATAGAAGAACATTCTATTGTGGATCCAACCTACATCGAAGATTTCCTTTTAACCTACAGAACGTTTCTAACAAGCCCCCTGGAAGTTGGAAATAAACTCTTGGAATGGTTCACAGTGGACAGCCTCAGGGATAAGGTGGGTTTGAGTCTGAGATTAGTATTTGTGGTGAAAATATCTCTGAATTGATTCCTTTTTCTATTGCTGATAGCTATTTTAAAGCAAAATATTTTTCACTAGTATCAAGAAGGGATTCTCCAGCGTGGTGTATGTGTATAGTGTACTCTCCTAGATTAGGTGTGACACTGCTGCTCTTCTGCAGAACGCTCAATACTGTTTTCTCTTTAATTGAAAGGTGTAAATCCCTGCATTTCCAGTGAAAAAGTTTTTCAGAGACTGGCAAGTTGTGTTCAGAATCTCTTGGACATACCATCTTTCTTTTCACAACAGTCTTGTGCTTGTCTTCCATAATTTTCCACTGTAGAGCTTTTCAGTGTGTTGAGCAAACTTTGTTTCAGCAGCTTATTACAAACTCTGCACTTAAAATAAACTCTGCTCAAGACAGGTGCAGTTGATAAAAATGCTTCCATAAATAGAACGAGGTTCAACTCTATGTACGTACACATGAAAAATGTTCGTTGTCTGGAACTTGTATCCATGTCCAATTTGTTGAAAATTATGGCAGTAAAATTCTTAGCCAGCTTTGAGCTGAAGGAAACGCAGCAGACTATCGAAAGGCTGAATTTTTTTTTGCATAGGAAATTGTTTGGGGTCTTTTGCTGTGGTTACTGCTTCTCTTCTGACCTTTTTCCATGCTGTTCATTTTGGCAACTACTGTTTTTTAAGAAAAGTAAAGTAAAATAAAGCTGTCTCGGCAAATAAAAGAGGAAATTGTTTATTTTTAGAAGGGAAATTGCTATAGATTAACCTTTTTTTATAATATGGATGGATTAAAGAGTTGTCAGACTGGCTTTGTCATGAATGGTAGTAACTGTTGCACATACAAAAACAACCTGAAGATTAAACTAAAAGTTCTGAAAAGAAAGCTTTTTATTATCACAGCGTACTTCCTAGAGCTTTCTTTAAGGATATCATTAGGGTGCTTTAAAACATTAAGTTTTATAAACAGCATAAAGAAGAGTCAACTGAAGATGGATTTGTGTACCAGTACGTACTGGGTGATGTAGCCAATTAGGTACAAAAATATTTGGCTTTTCATTTTTCATTTGTTTCCACAAATAAAGGAAAAGAGAAGATGATTCCAAGTGTAAATGTCTTCTGCTTCTGTTTGTTAACAGCTGCAGTAATCTGTCGTGTTATTTTGCCATGTCCCTTGTATTCCTCTTTGCTCACAGATTAAAGCCTGTAGGAGAAGAATCATGTTTACATATATGTACATTATATATACCTTTTTTTTTTTTTTTTTTTTTACAGGTTACCAGAGTGGTCTTACTGTGGGTGAATAATCATTTTAATGACTTTGAAGGAGATCCTGCTATGACTCGATTTCTGGAAGAATTTGAAAAGAACTTGGAAGATACGGTAGGAGCAAAAAAGAATGACGGTCATATTTTCCACTCTTACACTTTTTCATTTTCCAGTGTGTTACCAGTGACTAACACATTGTAGTCTGTAAGTCTAACAGTTAATAGATGGCTATTAACATGGACCTGTTTGTTCTTAAATATGTGTTTAGATATAAAGCCCATGTGAAATAGTGGATACAGCACTCATTGATGTGTTTTTGCATTACTGCAAAAGAGGACAAGGTTTATTTAGTAAGATTTGGATACATGGCATCATAAGTCCTTTTTCTGGCACTTGGGTGTTTTGGTTTTTTTCACAACTGTTTTTCTGTTTCTAGTAAAAGAAATACTACACTCTGTTTTGTCTTCTGCGTTACAGAAAATGAAAGGGCATCTCAGACTGCTGAATATTGCCTGTGCTGCCAAAGCAAAATGGAGACAAATTACCCTGCAAAAACCTTCTAGAGATTCACCACTGTTTTTCACCCTCCTTGGAGGAAGCGACAAGGGTTTTGGTATTTTTGTAGAGACTGTGGAAATGGGCAGTAAAGCAGCAGAAGCTGGACTCAAGCGTGGTGATCAGGTAAAAAGAAAAAAAGTTCATTAAAAATAGTCATCTCTTTTCGTTTATTAAAAGAAAATCTGGTTCAACCAACTGGAGTGTTTCCAACAAAAGGAATGGGCTGTTTACTACAAGCAAACAACTGGCTAGTATTCTATTGTCAATGCCACAGTTCAGCTTCAGTTTACAGGTGTTAAATTAAAAAGTTCTATTAAAAAAAAGTTCTATTAAAAAGTTTTCAAAATATGTAAATATTTCAAAAACAGAGTGGGAAAAGAAGCCAAATTCTGGTTATTTTAAGAAAGTTTCTGAGTGGAGATGTGGCGAAGTTGAAGCCATCAGATTGTTTTGTTGGATTGATTCCCACCTAGTGTAAATCATCCCAGTTTACTGAGGCTGGTGGAGCAATGACAGTTCACACCAGGTGAAGATCTGGCCTTGGATTGTACTGTCAGTTCTACGGTTCATCATCCATCACTTTTGATTCAGGAGCAGTTACTAATTGCAAGAATGTCGTGTTATCACAGAAGGTAAATGTGGTTGAAGTATTTGGCAGGTGGAAACGGGCAGTCTTGGCTTGTTTACAAGATACAACTTCACTGACATGATCAAAATTGTTACTTTACAAAGAATGTTTTCATGCTACAACTGCTGTAAAGATGGTAACTTCTGGAAAGTTCCTGCTGTGCCTGTGTGATCACCTTTCTATTTGTAACTCTGTCGTAAACAGTTGTTCTCCTAATAGTTCACATTTTTTATTTTTTCTTAAAGATAATGGAAGTAAATGGACAGAATTTTGAGAACATTACCTTTGTAAAAGCTCTGGAAATCTTAAGGAACAACACTCATCTCTCCATTACTGTAAAAACAAACATTTTTGGTGAGTAGGCTTTATATATGATATATTTTTATGTACGTGGAGAAAACCTCCAGTCTTTCTGGCTTTAGAAGTGCAATAAGATTCCACCTATTTTTTTTTTTTCCTAGCTTGCTCCAGGAGTGAAAAGTTGTGCACAAGTCCCCACGTTGTGCCTCCGTTTGCTCGGTTAAGTCCTTGTGTGCCAAGGGCTGCCCGTTGCGTGGCACACAGCCAGCGTAGGCAGCTCTTTGCTCCCTGAGAAATCCTCAGATGGCTGTTTAAGCAGCTTTAGTGTCCCTCCATGTGCTGTGGCTGAAGCAGAGCCAAGGGATCTGGGCCAAAAGGTTTCTGCCAAGAAACGTCAAAAATGTAAAACTGAGCTTTGGTAAAACTTTTTCTAATGGCTGTAAGAACGACAGGATAAATCGCCTTTGTATCTAAAATTGAGAAGGAGATATAAAAAGCAGTATGACATATAAATGTTGACTTTTAATTGTCAACGTGAGTATAAACACATAAATACCTCTTTAAAATCTCAGTCAAACCATCTGTTCTTTTTCCATAATCCTGTTCAGGCAGCAGAATAACCATAGCTACAGAAAGAACGAGACTGTGCACAAGATAGTTCCTTCCTCTGTAGTTGTGTCTGAGACCTTCTGATGGTTTCCTCTTCTTATTTTCTTCCTCCAGTGAGCTGCCCTTGTTCACTGTTGATTTTCTTTTCAATTCTTATTTTATGTTTATCATTATGCAGGTAAAAAGTTTCAAGATCCTAGCAGTTAGCTAGGATCGTTAACATAATTCCAAAAAAGCATAAAACGACCACGGTAACCGGTGATCCAGGCTGGTGTGAAATGACATAAATTAAAGCATAACTGTAACTGAGACAGTGATAGATTGTTCTTTTGTATTATAAATGTAAGCAACGTACATTTATGAGTGGATTCTAATCTCTTCTCTTCCTGCTAGCTGATATAATTTCAAGGTGATTTCTCTGATAAAATTTAATCAATTCATGTCTTGAAGCTTTTTTCAGCAGTTCTGTCTTTTTAATTGAGTGCTAAGTGCCTGGTGCTGACATTAAGCAGTTCCTGTTCTTATATTTGTATCTATACTGTGAAGGCTTGTAGCCTTGAATTTTATTACATAACAGAGATATGCATTTTGACTGGAATTTTCTATACAGAAAGTCCTGGTTGCCTTTCTCATAGGGGCAGTCTGAGTAATTTGCTCTGCATTCTTCCAGTATTGCCATGTTTTAGACAGAAAATACTGAATTTCTGACTTGAAAGGTTTAAAAAGATTTAAGAAGATTTTTAAAAAAAGGATATGTGTTGATAAACTAATTTGAACAATTTGTTTTCACCTTTTATGTGTGGGAAGACACACAAAGAACACAAACACTGTCTTTTCCGTGCAGTTACTTTGGGAATGTCAGTGTTGGTATTAGACTGGCTTAGTTTGATAAATGCAGTAGGCAATTTGCTGCAGCTTCTGTTCAGGAGTGTTACTAAAAGCAAACAAAGACAGTTTTGGAAAATATCAGTCTGTCTTGCAGTTATTCTTGAGGAAGCATCTGCACTCCATGACCTAAAAGATGCAGACGAAAAAGTTGCTAAATATATAGAGATGATTGCTGTGACCTCAATGTTTCCTTGTTATCTATCCACTAACAGTAGACTAGCTCTATTAAATTTGCTGGAATATGTGCTAATTTCAAAAGTAATCAGGAGAACTCTGCTGTGCAGAATGTTTCATCGTTTTTATTGAACTTTTAGGAGTTACTCTTTCTGCCAGGGTAATCGAAAGCAAAACTTAGATGGGAAAAGACCCACACCCTTAGAATCAAAATTAAAATGCAATGTGTTGCCTGGTTTGTAACTCTTTGGTTCACTTTTTCTGCAGGGATGTGGGAAGCAAAAGGTTTGAGGGGAAAGAAGAATTCGCTGTGAAGTTTTGAGTGTGCAAAAGGTAAATCACAATGATTGTATCTTCTCTTACAGTGTTTAAGGAGCTGCTCTGCAGGATAGGACAAGAGAAGAATGGAATCCCACATATTCCAAAAATTGCAGAAAAGAAAAACAACCGTTATTCCATCCCAGACATGCCTGGAGATGTGGAACAGATGTTTCCTCGTGAAAAAGGAAACAAGAAAATGAAAGCAAACACTGTATCTGGCGGGAGAAACAGAATCAGGAAAATTTTAGACAAGACCCGATTCAGCATCTTGCCTCCAAAACTGTTCAGGTTTGTCAGACTCTTCTGGTCAAAAACTAATAGTTCCTTATTAAGTTGTGATGTTTTAGTTGCTTAATATCATCTGTCGCTACGTCCATGTTGCTTATGTTTTTCAAAAAATGCAGCAAATCTGACCTATAAACGCAGAACAAACCAAAATATCTTTTCTCTCCCAGTGAACGCTTTCAAATATGCTTTTCCTCTGTCCTTGTCTACAACATGCAATTAAAACATCTGAGTGCCATGATTTTTCTTAGTTCCATTCATCCCAAGATGAATTAAGGAGGGGGGTGCAGGAAACTGATGCAGAATTGTGTTGCAGTGACGGCAGCGTGAGCCAGTCGCAGGACGACAGCATCGTGGGCACGCGGCAGTGCAGACACAGCCTGGCCATCATGCCCATTCCAGGAACGCTCTCCTCCAGTAGCCCTGACCTGTTGCAGCCCACAACCAGCATTCTGGATTTCTCTAATCCTTCAGGTAAACCAGCAGCGTTACCTTGATTTACAGGATGATTACAAGGCGGCTGGTTCAGGGGGAAAATTACATCTTTTACCAGCAGCAAACATACCAAGTGCAGTTACTTGTTTGTCTTGTGGCTCAAACAGGTCCAAACTGGACATTTGCTGAAAATCCAAACTGCCTGAACCTCTCTTGCCTGCATTTTTTTGTAATGTGACACTTAGCTTATTTTTACAAAGAAATGTATTTTTCCACCTCGGAGAGTCTTTGATTTACTGGAGCTTACCAGGGCTCTGGTGGAAGCAGATTGTCCTTGTCTGCACCTTTCTCTTTTGTCATCCCTTCCCAATACCAGTGCTCCTGGTGATTTGACTTGTCCACCCACCACCTTTCAATATATATTTCAAGCAGAATTGTGGATAGAATAGGACCGTCGTGGTACCAACATAGTGATTAATGTGTAATTTTTTTACAGACATTGCATGTATTCAACTGTATGTCTGAAAAACTGAGAAATATTCTGAGATTTGTAGTCTGTGCTTTCATTGCTGTTACTTGTAGGAATACAGTTTATGGGGTGGCTGCAGGAGGCATTTGTTGTTATATGCAGCTGCCTGTAAACATGTCAAGTCAGAATCATGTTTCCCTACTTCAAGTGTAAGTTCTGTGCATAATTATATATTTGTAAAGTGCCTTCTGGCTATGACTTATGTTTATGTAAACTTGCAGGTTTCCCCTTTAAAAGGGATGTGCTCGGATAGATCCTATCAAGTGCATAAAGACCGAGAGCAAATAAGTTCCCTTTTTGCTGCAAATCCAGGTTCTTGCTGGCTGCATGAGAGCTACACACATGTTCTCTAAGTACCTTCATTTCATACAAGTAACTAGTGAATAACTAGTCCTTCTGACCTTTAAGTTGACTATAACAAATATGCCATCGTTTTTGAATGGCAGAGAAAACCAAAATATTTCTGCCAGTGTACTACATACTCTTGTTTAAGTTTTGTAAACATCTAAATCTTGATTTGGTGTTGACACAATTTTTTTTCTTTTCTTCCTGCCCGCAGCTGTTGGGTTTTACTGTAAGTATCCTGATGTAGAGCATCCTGAAGACCTTAATATTGCATGGCTTGCCTGTTAAATGTAACACTCCTGTACGTTGCATTGACATAGTTATTACTGTGAGGGCATTAGATGGTCATGTGGCCAGTAACCTTCCTTTTAATAAAGCAAACCCAGAGGTTCTCTTTATGGGCACAGTGCTGGACTGAGGCTGAGAGGACTTGCATTTTATTCCCATTTCTGCCCTGGACCTGCTGAGTGACCTCGGCAGGTTGCTTCACTTCTCTGTGACCTTCCCTTAAAGGAATGAGGTTACTTGCATCTCTTTTATAGAAACTGGAAGTTTTAGATAACATAGTTTGAGATTTAGTTTGTTCCTCTGTTGGATAACTAAAATTTTGTGCATGCAAACTTGAAACGTGTTCTGTGTTGTAGCCACAAGCTGAATCATGCATAGGAAAAGAATTTTTATTAATATTTACCTCCTTGAAAGCAAAGACCATGAAGATAGACATGTGCTTGTCGTATGAGTTTCCATCACCTGTCACTTACAGGTTACACTGTGTTGGTTGCATGGTGGATGCTCCCCCCTTCCCCAGTTGCATTTCAGTTTTGATTTTATACCCTGAGTATGTTTCGATTTTTATTTATGTTAATACAAAGATACGGATGTTTGGCTTTTCTTTTGATTTGTTATGATTTTTCTGAGTCCGTTTCCCAAATTATTCAGCGTGACATTCTCACCCCTTTCACTCTGAAACGAGTACATAATATTTATTGTTCCCTTTTATTGCCCCCATTCATGTGTGCATGAAGCTTTTCAGATTCAACTGCTCCCCAACTATTGACATGACTATTCTGATAACGTGCTAGTCATAATAACGAAACTGTTAGTAGGGTTGGTTTTCAGGCAGAATTTTTTCAAACACCTTGTTTCTTCCCGTTTTCCAATGTATTTACAGCTGCTATTGAGGCTTCGTTTTTTCCAATGGGAGAAAACTTTTGGTGCAGAGTGTTAAATTACCTGCTTACTTCTTGCCCTGAAATTCCTGCTACTTGCCTTCACAACACCATTAAGTCCTGGTGCAAGAAAAAGTAATCCCAAAGTCACTGCCCCATAAAAGAGATCTGAATTTCTTCCTTATGCAGCATATAGAATCATAGAATGGTTTGGGTTGGAAGGGACCTCAAAGCTCATCTAGTTCCAACCCCCCTGCCATGGGCAGGGAAATCCTCCACTACACCAGGTTGCCCAAAGCCTCATCCAGCCTGGCCTTGAACACCTCCAGGGATGGGGCATCCACAGCTTCTCTGGGCATATAGTGATAGGACAAGGGGCAATGGCTTTAAACTGAAAGCGGGTAGACTTAGATTAAAGGAAGAAATTTTTTACATTCCGGTGGTGAGGCACTGGAACAGGTTGCCCAGAGAAGTTGTGGCTGCCCCATCCCTGGCAGTGTTCAAGGCCAGGTTGGATGAGGCTTTGACGTGGTTTTTGAATAGCTGCAGGCTCTGAAGATGTGGCTGAGGGCTCAGTGAGAGCCTCCCACCTTCCCAGGTCTGCAGAAAACTTAACAAAGTTTTTTCAGAGTTTAGGGAGGGAAAAAACTGCTCTTCCTTGACTTTTAAATTAGAATGCGCTCTGACTCTTATTTTTTTTTCCCCCAGTCAGTTTTATTTTTAAAATCAAGCCTTCTGCAATAACCAATGGAGTGAATTATTTACAATCGCCAAGCTGTAGACCAAACGTGTTTCTTTAGATGCTTATTTCCTGCTGTAGGCTGCCTTCGATAAAGCTGTTCTCTAACGCATTTATAATACATAAAACGTGCTATAAATAAGTACTAGCCAGAGAATTAACTGCTGGCAGCAGCTTAGTTCCTTCAGGGTGAGAGAGCGAGTGTAAATGTTTGCAGCTAGTTATGGGAGCAGCCACATCTCCTTTCCTCTCCACATCCTCCGTGCTCGGTGGCGTCCCGTCCCCGGGAACAATGCCCTGCACGCGTGTTCATTCTGGCCCTCGCAAAGACAAAAGAGCTGAAGAAGAAATGATGCTGCCAAAGTTTTGGAGACACGCTGAGAAGGACAGTGTACAGCTGAGTAACATATCTAGGTGTCTTGTACTTTGGTTGTGAAATTAATTCAGTTGTGCAGGTGCAGAGAGGGGGTGAGTTGTCTTTTTTTCCCCCCTCTGAAAGTTGGGGGGAAACAACTAAGGAATGTTCATCTCGAGTCCAGCATGGCTTTTTTTCTTGCTAGCTGTTTATCTGTTTTCTGGCTGTCGAATGATACAGTAAACGGCCTCGTGTCTTTCCAAGGGAAAAGCAGCTTCATCCCTAAAGCTGGTGGTGTGTTGTTTCAGATATCCCGGATCAAGTAATCCGAGTTTTCAAGGCAGATCAGCAGAGCTGTTACATTATCATCAGCAAAGACACTACAGCAAAAGAGGTGGTGAGTCACGCCGTCCACGAGTTCAACCTGACGGGAGCCTCGGAGACCTACTCCCTGTGCGAGGTGTCCGTCAGCCCCGAGGGAGTCATCAAGCAGCGGAGGCTCCCAGATCAGTTCTCCAAATTAGCCGACAGGATTCAGCTCAACGGACGGTAAACGGGCCCTTGGTGTGGTTTTGGTTTGGGTCTATTTGCCTTTTAGGATCCAAACATCCAAAAGAAAAATTGTGGAGGGATGTTTTAATTAAAACAGACAGGTGACTGTTGCAAGGACAAGCAAGTGAACGTCAGTAACTCGTGCTTCCCTCTCCTCTTTCCTTCCTTGTTTCACCTTCCTCTTCTGCACCCAAAAAAACCCTCCCCAAATCTACAGCAAACTTGCTTGATGACAACTAAATTTAGCAGATCAGGATAACATATATAGTGGCTTACACTTAAAAAAAAAAAAGTTATATTTGTTCTGACACTTTCCACATGTACTCGAGGATTAAAGTGTACAATTAATTTCTTTCTCGGTTACGTCATGTTGCAATGAACTGATGCTAACCTGAGATAAATTCTTCCATTTTTATATAAACTGTTGTGAATGTTTCTGAAATGTTAAGTGCTTCAGTTTTATCTGATGACCTGATCCATACCAGAAGAAAGTTACATTAAGTAAAAAATTCTTTAGTCGTCTTTGCTAGGCAACAGGGGGAATTTACGAGGAATAAACTTTTGTGTATCTGAAAGTGCTCTGCTTGGGACCATGGAAATTAATTTTCCAGATACATTTTCATTTCCTGAATACTGTGTGCTTCACATAAATATTATTAATATGCCACACTAAATTTATCTAAGAAACCACACTAAGTTTGTGTAAGAAATGGAGAAACACATTAACAAGAGATTTCTCAGGACTAGTGTCTATTTAAAATATTTCGCTGCTGAATTTGCAAATGAAAACATAACTGACCTTTTTCTGAAGGTGAAAGCTACAGCATATTATGGAGTACAGTATAGAAAATATTAGCAAAGAGGTAGGTGAAAACGGCTTTGAAACCTTTTGTTGCTTCAGGAATGATGGTGGTTTATAGTAGCTGAAGTACAAGGTGATGCTGTCCCTTCCTGCCTCTGTCTTTGCCTCTTGCACTGGATTGTCAACAGTAATGCAGGAATACTGTCACATGAACACCCCTGCGGTGTCGGCAATGTCCACGTCAAGTGGTATATTCAGTGTCTTCGTGTTCACAAACCTTCTGAAGAACATCTTCCAGTACCTCAAGGGGGCCTACAGGAAAGATGGGGAGAGGCTGGTCAGGAGGGCCTGTTGTGATAGGACAAGGGGGAATGGGTTTAAAATAGAGGGAGGTCGATTCAGGTTGGATATTAGGAAAAAATTTTTTACCATGAGAGTTGTAGAACACTGGAACAGGTTGCCCAGAGAGGTGGTGGATGCTCCATCCCTGGAGACGTTCAAGGCCAGGTTGGACGAGGCCCTGAGCAACCTGATCTAGTTGGAGATATCCCTGTTCCTTGCAGGGGGGTTGGACTAGATGACCTTTGAAGGTCCCTTCCAGCCCTAACCATTCTATGATTGTATGATTCTATGATCTCTAACGTTTTATTGTAACTCGCTTGTTCTTCAGGTATTATCTAAAAAACAATATGGAGACGGAGACCTTATGCTCCGATGAGGATGCTCAGGAGCTACTGAGAGAGAGCCAGATTTCCCTCCTGCAGCTGAGCACCATCGAGGTCGCCACTCAGCTCTCCATGAGAGACTTCGAGTTATTCCGCAATATCGAGCCTACGGAATACATCGATGACCTTTATAAGCTGGACTCCAAAACAGGAAATGCTCACCTGAAGCAGTTCGAGGATGTGATAAATCAAGAGACGTTCTGGGTTGCCATGGAAATTTTAGCAGAGCCCAACCAACTCAAGAGGATGAAGATCATTAAGCATTTCATTAAAATCGCCCTCCACTGTCGGGAATGCAAGAACTTCAATTCCATGTTTGCGGTTATAAGGTAAAACACTTCCCGGTTGCCAGATCTGGTTTGTGCTGTCAGAGGCACTCTGTCAACCCAAAGGGAAAGAATAGGAATAGGTGTATCCTGAGGAGACAGCCCGTGGTGCCAGGTGGTTTTGGGGGATTACCGAGCTTTTCAACAGCGGTTGACACGATGGTCTCTCCGTTAGCCGTTACCCGGCAGGGAACGAGGCGATTGGGACAAAAACGCTGTTTGATTGATGGGCTCCAGAAACCTGCCTGAACGTTGCTGTCATTTTCTGTGATTCTGGCACCCAATTTCCCTGCTTTTTTCAGTCATTGTTACTTTTTCAGTGTGCACTGACTCATATCTGCGATGATGAGATTACTTTATTTCTTCCTTTCGTTGTATGGACTTCCTCAAATCAGTCTTGTTTAATTTTCCTTTTCATTCTTTCCTGTCACCTGCTTGCTTCTCTATTTTTTTTTTCCCCTCTTCATTTGCACATGTAGACTTTCTCTTCTGATTTATACTAGATGCTACTTTAACAGCACGAGTTCAGCATTTCCCCTATTTGCAATTATGTTATACCCAGGTTTTACCTTAAGAAAAAAAAAAGGTGCTGTGATTCATCAGACAAAGAGTCTGGATTGACACTGTATCCCAGCACTATCTTCAAAAATACGTTTTTAAATATTTTCTTCCATGTCTAATCAGTCTATCGGATGGTATTGGCTTCTGTTTAGTCATACATTAAAGAACTCCTGAATTTCCTTAACGGATACTGGGCAACCATTGGGACTGAGGCTGCTCATTACATGGTGAATACATGTGGCTACTGAATTTAATTCATATATTCTGCTCCCTACTTCCTCGTGGTTTATTGTAGATGGAGAAATGACTCTTCTGATTTCTCAGTTAAGTCTAATCAGATCGTAACTGAAGGGGTTTTTGGTCAAAAAAAAAAAGCAAATAAATCAGCTTTTGTTTTACCCTTGTTTCCAGAGGAATATATTTTTATTAGCATATGCCACAGGGGTTCACTTTCTGGCCTTGCCTTGCATTGCATCTCAATATGATGCCATATGTTCCGTGAAATAGGAGGATATCATCCTAATGTAGCATGTAAAAGAGGAGTTCTGTGGTGGCATATGTTTGATTTTTCATGTGAGAGAAGGCTTTGTGATTTGACAATCGCATGGAGAGAAATCTATATAAAAAATAAATACAAAATAAGCTTCTGAAGCTATCAAAATGAGAAAAAAACTTTTTAGAATAGCAGGTTTGGTAATTGCATGATTTTGGATTTACTGATGGATGCTGGAGAATATCACTTTCCAGTTCTGCAGCTACAAGGACTTTGCATTCATTGCAAAATTTCTTGAGCAAAGTTGATGATGAATTATTATAGGCAGGATGGATATACTTCATTTTTTAGAATTTTTCCTGTTGCATCCAGCTAGTTCTGGATATGCTTTTACTTAATGAGAATGAGGACACACTAACAAGTTTTAGCATATCTGCTGCTTCTGGTTCCCAGTCTGTTGGTGCTCACTGACAAGTTCTCCAAACGTACTCCTCGTGAGCCTCACCACTGTTGCTTGGGATAAGCTGTGTGCTCTTCTCCCTTGCTACTGTTCCATGGATTCACCTTGTTAATATTTCACCCTTTTGGTCCTTATGGTGATGCACATTTTTGCAGGGGAGAAGTGGTTCTTAAATTAAATTAATTGGGCACCAGTGCTGTGTTACGGAGTGGTGAAACCAGCTCCTTGTGAAAAGGAAGCAGTCGTGCTTTCACAGTTCTGCTCGCTCACTGGAGCGAACAGCGGAGCTTTATGAACTTGCAGCCTGGTGTTCACCCAGCTTTACAGTTAACCTTGCAACAGCTATTTTTAATCCCTAAAACAACAAAAACCAACCCTTGGCTTCTTTGGGAAAGGTGATGATTCCGCTAACAGCTCATGTGAAATGTGTCTGCCTTGCAGTGGCTTAAATCTCGCCCCGGTAGCGCGTCTCAGAGGCACCTGGGAAAAGTTACCCAGCAAGTATGAAAAGCACCTCAGAGACCTTCAAGATCTTTTTGATCCGTCTCGAAACATGGCAAAATACCGCAACATCCTGAGCAGCCAGAGCATGCAGCCTCCCATTATTCCACTTTTTCCCGTTGTCAAGAAGGATATCACGTTTCTGCATGAAGGTAATGTCAAACATAGAAAAACAATCAAGTAAACATTGAACATGCTTTAACCCTTTCTTCAGTGCTCCAGGATTCAACAAAGGTTGAAAAGAAGCTGCCACTAGTACGATATTTTTGATGCGTCCTTTGTAGGAGTAAAATAAAATGCAACTTGGAAGAGGCTGGTCATAGACAAAAATTAAAAATTAAATGGGTATTTTTAGTATTTTCAAAGCCATGCTTAAATCTTCATCAGCTGTCCAAAGGTTTAGGGTGGAAGAGTAGGTGAGTGTGCTAACTGGTAGTTACACTACTTCAAACATACTTCTCTTACACAAGCTTGTTGCTGCAGCGTTTCTACGTTTTCCTTCCATGTTGTGGCTTTCAGACAGCTACGATGATACAACACCTCCTACTCTTGCTTTCAGCATTTTCAAGGGTTTTTGTTCAAAAAAAATCCTTTTTTTTTTTTTTTCCTTTTCCACAAAGCTCTATTTACAACTGGTTAAGGTTAAGCATTTCCAAATATGCCCAGTCCTTGGTTGTGAGGTTTCAGAACTATTTGAACTAATTTCAGAATGTGAACGCTGTTGATGTCAGTTCTATATTTGCATTTTTTTAACGTCTGTGCCAATGAATATGGGCATAGTTCACTTACTCCTTTTTCCTCCTACGAATTTCATAGAATTTCTAGGTTGGAAAAGACCTTAGAGATCATCCAGCCCAACCGTCCCTAATCCCCATTAAACCATATCCCTAAGCAGTTCATCCACCCTTTTCTTAAACACATCCAGGGATGGGGACTCAACCACCTCCCTGGGCAGCCTAAATGCTTGTTACAAGTAATGCTTGTTACTTTAGAAATAAATTAACAAGAGCATTGCTCGGTAGTCTGTGGGCCTGATTGTCATTTGTGTTTTGCCAGATTCTCCTGTTCTCTTGCTATTTTGATTAAAGAGTTTTGTCAATGGGGGGGCAGGGAGGGAGGAAGGGTAATGTGGGGGACTTGGAAACACATCGCTGGTTAAAAAAGTATTTCTTACTCTCTTTTTTTTTCATATGTGTGTGTGTTTTGCTTATACAGGAAATGATTCTAAAGTGGATGGCCTGGTAAATTTTGAGAAACTCAGAATGATTGCCAAAGAAATTCGCCAAGTTGTCCGAATGACCTCAGCAAACATGGATCCGGCCGTCATGTTCAGACAAAGGTGTGCAATTTAGAAAGTCAGGAGGGTTGAAGGTGTCTTGGAGTGGGTAGGGATCAGGGCTTGTGTGTGTGTCAGTACGTTAATATTTCGGTGTGTAACTTACCATTGACATTTCCCATCAGAACCACAACCTTTGTCAAACTATGGCAACACAATTGATCCTTCCAAGACCTGGTTTTAATGACTACTAAACTAATTTGTTGTCTTCCAAAAGTGAAAAAGAATAGGTTCTAATTCTAGTGATTTATATTTTTGCTAATTAAAACGTTAGTATCAGTAGAATTTTGAGAGAGGTATAATATTAGAGAGGAAACCATATATATATATATATATATATACATATAAAAGCACCTAAATCACCCATGTATAAATCTAAAATGTTCCTTCAAAACAAAACTCCACTGGTAGCATATTAAAACCAAACAAAATATTTTTTTTTTATTTGTTCTAAATACATCTTGCTCCACCTACATAATATTTGATATGTTCAGGCTGTAAGCAGGTAGAGGATGTTTTCTCGTTTTCTTTTTTCTTTTTTTTTTTTTTGTTCTGATGCATGATGTCATCAGGCTCTGTGTTAACAAACTGCAGAATAAAAGCACCGTGATTTCTAATCCGGTGCTGATTAGCTCCAGGTTATATTTAGTGGAACTAGCGTATAGAGGTTTGGTTCCCTGTGCTCTTCCAGTGGTGAGGAGTCACAGACCATTGGGAATCTTGTCTGGTTTTTTGTTTTCAAGGCTGACTATCAGGAATCATAAGTATTTTCTTCACAATTGGTCCAGTCGAGGTTTGAGACAAAAATGACAGATCTCTTGTCAGTGTTCTTTAAAGGTGGATTTGTTTCAGAGTGGGGATTCACCTTCGTCCTATTGGATTTGAATTAGCAAAATTTCCTTTTTAACATAAAGATGCAAAACTGCTTACTGATAAGTTAGGATTGCTTTTCAGAAGCTTTGGTGTTCACAGATGAAATCAGTCTATAACTAAATTTCCCTGCTGTCCCCTGCACTTTCTAAGTCCTAATGAAGTCTAATCATTAAATGAATTTAATAGTAAATAGTTACCTTTAATATGTTTTTCAGAATTACAGAACACATTTTAATGACCGTAATTTAAATTATGCACACTGACATAAAATACTTAGGCATCTAATCCTAGAGATAGTGCCAAAGATTAAAAGAAAATAATTCCATGTTTTCACATCATTTATATTCATTTTCATCGCCTCTGGTGTTTGATCTATCAGTTTGTGTTATGAAGCACCAATAAATGCTTTTGAAGATTAAAAATGAACAAGAAAAAGATGTTTGTTAGTGGTAACATGAGACTTGCTAGCAAGTTCATTACCAATTAATATAAAGCATCTACTTTTTCAGAGTGTATTTGGCAACTAGCTTGTTTTCCAGCAAGCAATCAAGAGAAAACACCACCATAAACTTCAGTGCTGCTGATGATTTCTTACATGCTTACTGCAGTCCTAATGCAAAGAATAAATTACTTTAATCATGCTTTCTGCAGTAGGAGTAAGTTACGCACTTCTCACTCGCTCCGTCAAAATCAAATTTGACTTATGGGAGATACTTAACAGGAAAATTTAACGTTTGTTTGGTTTTTAAATTTGCAGGTTAAAAATAAACAAAAAACTGATAGATGTTCTTCCATATGAAAGTATTTGAGCAAGTCCTGCCCTTGCATTCCATTAAAACATTGTGTTATTGTTTGAGAAGAATTTTGCTGTATAGAAATTTTTTCTTTTCTGTTCTTTCCTGTCTACATCTTTCTTCCTGACTCTCAACTGTTTTATTTTTTTCCTGTGCTTTTCTGTTCAAATACATGCTTCAATGTATATGGCTCTTGCTTACAGGAAGAAGAGGTGGAGAAGTTTGGGGTAAGTGTAGAGATGAATGCAACTAAGATAAATAAAGATTATGCAAATTTAACATACTGCATCCTCTTCGTTAGTGCATGCATCTAAGTACAGCATGCATTTTATTAACCCTGCAATACATACTTTTTGGAAAACAGGAATAAGGGGTTACAGTCAACGTTACACCACAGCTATAAAAATCCTGAGTTGCTTTTGTGTACTAGATAAGTCATTTGATTTTGGGCATTATGCGGAAAAAAACCTGCTGTGCAGTTACATTGGAAGGAAACTATTTTGGGAAATAAATAACTTGCTTTTTAACATGAAACAGAAAAGTTTAAGTGATTCTGCATTTTGAACTATAAGGACACTTTGAATCGTGATAATGATACCGTTGTTTCCACCCTGAAGTTTGAGTTCAAGCTTCAAAGTATTTATTTTTAGTATATGTTTAAAATATATTTCACATTTCATATATGGAAATCCTCATTGATTTCACTGGGATTGTGCAAGGACTGAGTAATGAAATGGCTACAAAAGAGAGTCCTGGGGTTGGCTAGTGGAATTCCTGACTGACACGGGGCAGTGACTTAAGGTGACGTCGTAGCCGTGTTTTATGCATTCTTGTGTCTATTTTTGCCCATAAACTGTTATCCATGTACCTGAGCCTGTGTGCCTTTGCACTTGGAAGCTCTGCTTCTTTTCATACATTGAGCATCTGGTTTAAAGCAGCTGTACTTTAGTGCATGGGCATCTTACAGAGAGGATGGAGGCAGAAACACTCCCGGTGCTTTGCCCGCCCTGCGGCCGCTTCGCACGTCGCAGAGGAAGCCTGGTGTGGCAGCACCAGTTGTCAGGCTCTTCTGTGCCAAGAGTGGGTTTACCCCCCCAGCAGTGATGGGGACAGTGCCAGGAATGATGCTAGTTGAACTGGGGCGAGCAGGTTTGGATACTGGTCCCCAGTGCGAAATCAGCAACTCGGAAGATGCCCATGGAGCAGGGAGAGCTCGACTGGCAGCGTTGAGTGCTCAATAATCAGCGCACGGGGAGAAATGCCCAACTGGTCCCACCATAATTTCTAACCCTTGGGGTTACTGTGAACACCAGTGAATAAGGAAAAATCGTTTTTAAAGGAAATTGCATTAAATTGCTTAAAAAAGTCAAGTCCGGACTTAAAAGAAAAACAGTGTGCACATAAGCAATAAAATATTTATATCATTAAAAATAAATATAATGTAGTTTCCTGTTTCATTATATAATAGATATTAGCTTTGTTCTTATCCGTAGGAGATAGGAGTGCCCCCTTGGTTTAAACAGTCCAGCATGCCTTGTGCTGCTCTTTGCCTATAAGAGCATTACTTTTTTATGTAATTAAGCTACAAATTTCTGCCAGTTTTTAAGCTCATATTTTCTCTTTGATTGACTTATTTAACATCTCTGAAAAAATTACAGTCAGCTGTTTTCCACCACTTCTTTCTTTTTAAGCTCAGTGTGCTTGATTCCTTTGACTTCCTCAAACAATATGTTTCATTCTGACTCTTTTAGCCTTTATGGCTCTTCTGTGCTGGAGGTTCTTTATTCTGCCACTTGATAAACATCTTTACAAATAGTTTAGCCTTTTAAAATCAACTTATTCTTCTGAATGTTTAAAAAAAAACCCACAATTAACAACTTTTAACAACTTTATTGACTGTTTCCATTTGAATTTATGTGTAATATATACCGTGATCTCCATTTATTAAAAAATGGATTAGGACTGGTGTGGCCATAGGAGTTTTGACAGTTGAACCAGAGGCGATGTATATATTTGAACTATACCAGACAAGTTTTTTGATCACTGATTCAGTGTGAATAGAAGTGATTGGCAGGGAGAGTAACTGATGTATGTGGACCGTTTGGGATTTATTTCTTTTTGCCTCAATTGCTGATAGAATTGGCAGCTCAATTAGGAGCATTGAGGAGCGTTGTCTTTCGTAGATGCAAATCCGTGCAAGTCTGGGCGCATGTGTCTATTATCACTGCCTGCCTGACTTTTGCTGGGATATGTTTTTTAACGAGCTGCTCTTCTGTGAATGTTTTTACTTAATTGGAGGAAAGTTAAGTGTGTAATATAATGTACTTTGTGTATTTAACATAATGTTTCCCCTAATTTAAACATTGTCAGAAGCTCAGTTTTCTAAGAGGACTACACCAATCACTCGCTTCTGCACTCAGCTGAGTTGCAAGAAGTTTCTGTTGTAAGCCCGTCGCGTTCAGTGGGTACCAAATTCCTTACACCAACAAAGTCACCCAGTTTGCCCACTCTGGCACTGTGCAGTGGAAGCAGTGTGGGTTTTGCAGAACAAGACGGCGATTCACTCGCAGAGCTGAGCGGGTACTTCACGCAGCGTTGCGCCTCGTTCTTGCTAGTTCCACACTTCCATATGCAGTCCTCTTCTAGACTCAAATTGCTGCTATCAGTTTTCCAGAATATTTTAAGACAAGTGTTGTTTCAATGCTGTTCATCTTTTTAACTCATTTGCATCAGCATGCACTAGCCCTAACTGAAGATTATTGGTATTAATCTGCTTTGGCGTGTGCTACTACAGCTCCTCGTTGGCGGGTGACAACTAAAAATTTACTGCTTTGCTCTTTTCTTTTCTAGATCTCTCAGCCAGGGCAGCACAAACTCGAACATGCTGGATGTACAGGGAGGTGCTCACAAGAAACGTGCCCGACGCAGCTCCCTGCTGAATGCCAAGAAGCTGTACGAGGATGCCCAGATGGCGAGGAAAGTGAAGCAGTACTTGTCCAACCTCAACGTAGAGACAGACGAAGAAAAGATCCAAATATTGTCACTTCAGTGTGAGCCTGCGTATAGCACTTGTAAGTACAGTGATCTAGAACGGTGGCGTGATCTATGAAACTTGTAAAAATCTTGTTCCTTCCCTAGAAATGCTCGTTTAAGATCTTCCTCTTCTCTCTTTAAGATAAAATACTCTAGTTAAAGTGCTTGTTTATCACTTCATGTACTAACAGTTTCAGCAAGCTAGCATTTATCTTCTGATCTTGGTTGAGCTCAGAAAACTTCAGTGATGTTTTCTATTTTGACCTTTAGTTCTTAAACTGTGTGTCTTTTCATCGGTCTGGAAGGAAATTCAATAGTACATTAGCTCTATTCTTGCCCTGCTGTCCTTGTACAGAATTAGGAAGGATAAAAGTAACGTTTACCATAGGAACAGCAAGAAAATGAAAAGAGACAAAATCAATATAGAGACTGCAATGGATTACAGCTTAGAATAAACCAAGATTGTTGAGAAGTTAGGTCCATATTGACTGATGGGATTGACATGGCTTAACGGTCAAAAATTGAGGGCTGCTGCAGGACAGTTTTTGTGTTTTGAAGTCCTGTGCAACTGTTTAACTCAACCAACTGTCATCTGACCTGCTGTCTTGCACAGTTCAGTAAATTCTTATTTAAAAAATGAGAAATGATAATTGCATTTTATTTTGATCCTTAGAGATTTTCACTTGCTTGAACGGTAGGTTTGCTTCAAAATAGAAGGGTAGCAACCTTGCTAGTCAAAGTAATGTTTCATGCTTCTCTGTTGTCCAAATGCAGCATTTTAAGGTTTTTTTTGTTTAATTATGTTTTTTTGTCCTCAAATACTGTTTTGTTTTCGGTAAGTTAAAAGCATGACTAGGAGATGACATTTTGAAGATAAAATTTTAAGTCCTTTCCATTTTTCAATATTAAGAATGCAAATCCCTGTTGTTTCCTAGGGTGCCTTCCTATGCAAATTTTTGTAACATTTCCTTTTAAGTAGCACCGATGTAGGAATCCTGGAAATGGCCATACTTGACTCTCTTTTTAAAAATGTTAAATTCTGTGTATTCACACTGGCTTTGTGCCTGAGGTCGCCAGAAATCACAGGTAGCTCTGAATAAAAATATGCACAGCATCATATGTTTCTAGTAGAGGTGTTCTGCTTGTGCTGTGTTCAGCCAGATATGTGGTAGCACAGAATGCTTCTACTTAGAGGTAACATCGTTGTGGTTTTTATGCTCTAACCACCTGAAACAATAAATTAAAGCATGTCAGGATGAACTCTCCATAGATGACCTATGTGCAAACAGTCCCATCCCTGGAAGTGTTCAAGGCCAGGTTGGATGAGGCTTTGGGCAACCTGGTGTAGTGGAGGGTATCCCTGCCCATGGCAGGGGGGTTGGAACTGGATGATCTTTGAGGTCCCTTCCAACCCAGACCATTCTATGATTCTATAACAGGTGGCCATACTATGCCCAGGAGACAAACGCAAATGTTATGAGGTTGTTTTTTCAATTATTTTAAATAAATAATTTCAAATCTTGTTTGTACAGTGCTCGCCATAGATATTTGGAAGTAAAAGCAGGGAATATATACTGACTGTTTTACTCCATGTAGTTAAGCAAATCAAGTCCTCTTTTTCTTAAACTTCAGAAAAGGAAAATGAAGGTTAAGTGGATATATACAAATAAATCTATACTAGAGAGGCGTGGAAATGAAGGTTAAGTGGATATACAAATAAATCTATACTAGAGAGGCGTGTTATTAAAGTACCTATTTTTAAAAACTGAGAAAAACAAAACCAAAACAAAAAAAGAACACCCAGGTAATGGATCTGGTTGGGATTACACCTATAGTTTGCAGAGCTGGCAGGAAGGATGGGGGAGCGACGCGGAGCACAAGGGGACTGCTGAGCCCTTCATGGATTTTGTTGGGGTGGAGTGGGAGCACTGAACTGCTCCTGGGAAGTTCCTCCCTGGTGCATTTACCCACGTTTAAATTTTGACCAAGTAGAGAGGTGGTGGATGCTCCATCCCTGGAAGGCCAGGTTGGACGAGGCCCTGAGCAACCTGATCTAGTTGGAGATATCCCTGTTCCTTGCAGGGGGGTTGGACTAGATGACCTTTGAAGGTCCCTTCCAGCCCTAACCATTCTATGGTTCTATGATTCTGTGAATCGGGGAGCCTGGTACGTGGGTTTGCAGATGGGATGGTTTTTGTGCGTGTAGGTTTTTTTGCACATGAGCAGAAAAGCAGGAGGCACAGCTCCCCGATCTCCTGTCTCAGTTATAGGATTCTCCTGGCCTTTGCTTGCCGAAGGAATGAGCAGCAGTAATGCTGCAATCCAGACTTTTCCAAGGGGATTTAAGAAGTCAGATGGCCTTAACTTCAGAGTTTATTAATTGCTGTGTGTTTAAAGAAGAAACGGAATCAGTGTCCTGTGTTGTAAATCAGTTGTGCCACCTAGTGAAAGCTTTGATGCCAATTGCAGAACAACCATTCCTTCTCTGGCATGATGTAGTTTCGAAGGAGACATTGTTAATGCTTTTGCACCTTATGTAGAAACATCTAAAATACAGACTAATTGCAGAAACAAATGACATTTTTTCATAGAGTATCCCTATGACACTTCAAAGAGTTCAGATTTTTTAATGCCATTTCAGATAACAGGCTCTTCAGTGTAATGAGAAGATGTGTTTGGAATAGAAATGGTTTCAAATATGTTTTATCTGCCTCATTCCGTGGTTGCTTTGTCTGGATGGTTGTACTCGGAATGACCGTAATAATCCTGCAATTTGAAGTGCAAGATATTTATGTGCTACTTTTCCATAACAGTGACAAAGAATTTAAGTGAGAGAAGAGGAGCAAAATCCTCCGAAATGTCTCCAGTACCCATGAGATCAATTGGCCAAACCACTAAATCCCATCAGCATCAACAAAACAGGATGAGTCAAGTTCTGCAGGTTCCAACTGTGAATTTGTACCCCAGTCGGAAGAAGGGACTGACAAAGGATCATGTCACGTTCAGTGAGTATCTTCAGTTCACCTGTCTGGAGAGTTTTATAGGTCAAGTAAACACGAGGGAGGACCTGTTTGTAGCTGGGAGGATTATTTGAGATACCATTGGGCTTCGTTTACTTTGTTCACTTTAAAGGAGCTGAAGCATATTACTGTGTTTTAAGAGTGTGCTGTTTACTTAGTCATTTGCACAATCTTTCACAACTTTTCTTAAAACAGCTAATGGTAAGGTGCTGTCTCCAAATATGCTCTTGCTTTGTCGCTTTTTTCCCCTTGAAGTAAAGAATATGTTCTAACTAAAGTGATCTTAATACTTCTCTCTTGAACAGATCAGATGTGCAGCGTTAAGTCTTTTACTGTATATTTCTGCCTTCTAAAGGGATCTTGCACAAACAGAGTACAACAACTTACAGCTTGTTTCTTTTCAACAACTTACAGCTTGTTTCTTTTCAACAACTTACAGCTTGTTTCTTTTCAACAACTTACAGCTTGCTTCTTTTCATGACAAAATGAAATATATTATAAGTGAAATCATTCAAACAAGTCACAGACATTTAATGGGACACCATTATAACAGCATTATTGCCGAATGGAGCCGTGTATTTGTTAGCTGCTCTTAGTGAGCATCAATTTTTTCTGTCTCTAAATTTAGCATTATTGCCGAATGGAGCTGTGTATGTTGTTAGCTGCTCCTAGTGAGCATCAATTTTTTCTGTCTCTAAATTTGCTCGTTGCAGAGCAGTATTCTGTATTAAAATGCTTTTGACCTGTTTGCATAACTGTTGTATAATTTGAAAGCTACAGTTGTGGGTTAGTAAATAAAGTTAGCTGCAGTTAGTAAATGATACGGAATGATTCTGTGATCATCAATATCCATTAAAATAGCTTCAGAAAACAGTATATTGCAGCACATAACATAGTGTTTGCAGTCAGTGTTTATGTCAAGTATCCTCTTAAAAGCCTTGAGATGTTCCAGAAGCATTGCTGAGAGGTGTTTCTTCATTCCTCTGTTAAATGTTGGGTGCTGATCTAACAAACTATTGAGAACTCAACTCCTGGGCACTGTGTCCTCAGCAAGGTGCTCTAATAGCAAACAGGAAATACCAGATCTTCAGTTTGCGAAGTATGACGGTGCACTGGTTGTGCCAAACATGCCAGGTTCCGTACAGTGCCCGTGAGGGCTGATGTGAGAGCTCCTGGTTGTAACATCTTGAACTGACTTGTTGACTGTCATGCAAATTGTTTTTAACACTGTCCCAACGGTGTCGTGGGCGAGGGTTTCCTCCAAGCTTTACACATTGCACAGTGTGTGGTCCTTAGCCAAACCCACGACTGGTGTGTGTTGCAGTGGTTCTGGTTGTGACCTGGGTGTTCCAACACGCTTCAGGTGAGCAGCCAGCAGGAGCAGTGGCCTCTGCTGTTCTGGTCCAAATTTGAAGTGGTGACTGCCTCCACGTGCAGAATTCATCTGAGCATCTGCTCCTCTCTTTGCTGAATACTCCAGTAATTGTTCAACATGGTGCTTATTCGTAGTTTAAACAGATATCACCAAATTGAAAGAAGAATATTGTGCAGTACACGATTCTCTTGCTTTCGTAGGTACAGGCTCCCCGCAGAAGTCGTTAAGCTTGTCTGAGGAAGTAAGTAGTAAGAAACAAACAGATGACACTATGTCCATGGCATCTTCTTTGCACTCCAGCCCACCTGCTTCTCCTCAGGGCTCTCCACGCAAAGGTACGTGTGCTGCCTGAACGTCCACAGCACGCACGGCAGCATCCGTCTCGGGAACCCGTGCCTGTGCGGTGCTAAAACCAGGGTGGGCAGTGGCAGGGATATTTGTTGGCAATGACATGTAAGAGAAAGAGTAGTTCAGAATATTCGTGTCAAGAGTAGAATCATGTCTTTCTATGAATAGACATAGTTTTTCAATGTATTTATGTGGTTTGGCCTTAAAAGTCACCTACTATTTAAAAAGGAGAACAATTGTTTTCTTAAAAGCTGCTGAAGTGCTTCTGACAGAATTCCCAGTAGATCTTAAGTGCTGAGACCTGCCAGTGTATCAGTTTGGATTTAGGTGGCCACTTGTGAACGGGATTCGCAGACCTGGGGATTTCTGGAAGACGACAGTGTTGCACAGAAGCTGCGGCTGTCGAGGCTCCTTACATTTTTGCCTGAGGCAGCTGGAATATCAGATGATGAGATGGAGCTGGAGATAAAATGATGTCACAGGTCTCCAGAACAGGTGGTTTTGATAGCTGCAAAAATAGGGCGTCCCTCGAAACCCTTGAGTCGCTATTCACTTTTTTGTTCTTGTGCACAGGGCTTTGTATAGGTCCCTGTCTATCATGATGCCCTGAGAATCCCTTTATTTTTGATGTCATCGTCTTAAAAGACCTGCCATCACTTCATCATTAGTCAACCTTGGATGGGAATTCATTTGGAATCTCTTAACACCACTTTGTAGTCAGCCAGTGGTCAGTGTGGAACGGCGTAAGGCATTTCTCTCTCCCTTCTGTGCTGCTTCTGACTCACTGACAGCCCAAAGCCACTGGCTCAGCATGGCATGGCACGGGGACTTACTGCATCTTCTCACCTCTGCAGAGGGAGATGGCGCTGGTCCGTCCACTTCTGCCTTCACAAGAGACTGTTTCCTTTAGGAGAATGCCACTCATTTTACTTAAACACAGCATTATGTTTAAGAAGCTTAATTACTCGAGTTGCCAAACTTACCTCCACCGAGATTTTTTGAGCATCGCTTATAAACGTGTCATTTTTGTTAACTTTCATCTGGTTCTTTGAAAATAATGTCTTGTTTCTTTGGGATTGTTTCATTGATTCAGCCTGCTTTCGGCATATTTTTAGCACTGATCTAGTTTGATGGAGGTGATCCGTACCCTGTTGTTATGTGTAGTGCTGACAGCTCATGGAACTAAAATTAGGTGCTTCACAGAGAGCAGGAAGACATAATTTTAGGCACGAACACATTCCACTTAATCTTAGATGTCGTTTTCTTTTGAGCTATACGCAAGTGATATGCAAATAGGGTTGAAGAAAAAAATCTTTTGAAACCAGGACGTTATTTTTGCTGTTATTTATCTTGTTGCTCACCAAGATCTGCCTGTGTGTTCTTTGTTGTAGTTGGTAACATCCAGAGGTCAGATAACTGCAGTCAAATGAATCTCTCTGGCTCTTCCTCCTCGCTGGCCAGTGAAACCAGCAACAAGAACAGCGGACAGCGCAGCTACGGAATAGGTGGGGCTTATTTACAAAAGAAAATTTGGATGATTGTCAAAGCAAGAGACAGTTCTGACATGAGCGAAAAAAAGGGAGAAAGAGAGGATGAGAGTGAAAAGGCAGAAGCTGAGCGTGAGCACAGGAGAATGCAGAGACCCTGGTTTAGAAGACTAAGGGAAAGAAGCTTCTCCAGGGAAAGAACAGCTTTTGCAGCAAAAAGGGAAGCAGAGCACAGTGAAGCCTCAGAAGGGAGTGAAAACCAAAAGGAGAAAGACAGTGATGCTCTGAGTACAGCAAGTATCTATAGCAACAGCAACCTGTGGACATCCTACTGCCTGTGCATGAAGTCTAGAAAGAGGAGGAAGACTATATGATGTATTTTTAGAAGAAAGACACTGATGTCCACTTTGCATCAGATATACTGATTTTATCTGAGTGACTTTTAGCGTTATTCATTGACATGTTGAAGCTGTTCAATGTGCTTCCCTTCCAGATATTTGTGTCAGTTATTTGTAGCTAATCACCCTTACAGCGCAGTGAAGACAATAATGTGAAGTTTAGAAAATCAAGGAGCAGGTACAGTGGCAGATCTGTTACTTAGTGTTTCACAAGCACCAATGAAACAGTAAGTTCTGCAACATTCTATTGATTAGACTCTAGATAGTCCCTCGTATGATGTAAATCAATTGTAAATTGAGTGCTCATTTCCAGCGTTGGTGTATATTTGTGTTGGTCACATCATCTTCTGCTAACCTTTTCAGCCCAGCTGAAGCCTGCATTTAGTCTGTTGGTGTACATGAGCTGTTATTTAATGACTCAGCTTTCAGATAGTGTTAATCTCTTTAATGAAGAGGAGTCTTTTGTTCTCCAGGTCTTTGAAGTTCTTGAAGAGTGTCTTAAAATTAAGACACACTTGTGAGAACGTTTCTTAGTGTGGTATGGTTTCATGAATTTTAAGGAGTCCATTAGACCAAGTAAAGAATTTGAGGTATTAATTCTTGTCAAAGGAAAGGAAACTGAAATTTAATCTTAAAAATGCTGTTCTTGGATACATATTTTTCATTCATAAGGTTCAAGTCTTTAGTTTGATAATATTGATATTCAATGCTCATATTTGCTCATAAAATCCTACAGCAGTAGTCAAGCTTAAGCTGTGAAACCTCTCAAATTACGAGCTGTATGCTCAGTGGCACGTATGCCCGTGTCTCCAGATGCCATATTATATGACCTCCGTGTTTTTTACGGACTTAATGGCATCAGTCTTCTGTATAAAGTTGTGTGTATCACTGGCATGGCTTTTACGCTGTGCCTGGTCATTTCACATTTTCACCAAATGATGTAAATATATGATGGTCCAACTCAAAGGCACATGTAGATAGAAACGAATGAGAAGTTGAATGATGGGCAGGAATTCGGGAAAAAATACTTACCTGAGAACTGTGTCAACAGTGTATTAATATGGTCTCTTGTAAAGAAAGACCATGTTTGAATTAGTTTGCAGATGCTCGTTTACCTATACATGAAACAGTTGATGATCCAGTATTTTCAAATAAAGGTTCTAATTTTGTAATTTTATGCATGTAATGTAAGGCATATCATACACTGTTCCCTCCTGGTGAAGGCAGGGATATATTTCCTGGCATGCAGTGGATTTGCTATTGAGAAACCCACTGGGAACTTTAAAAAAAAAAAAAAAAATTTAAATTAAAAAAAAAAACCAACCCACCACCACAGCCATTACTCCAAGACGTTTTGCCCTTGGATAGAGGGGAACAAACCACAACTGTGAGCCAGAGAGTTACTGGAGGCAAAACGTTCTGCTTTTTTTTTTAATTTTAAAAAAACAAACAGATTTAACAGACACCTCCTGATTTTGTTGCCTATGACACAAGAGAAAGAACTTTGGTCTGCCCATAAGGTCATGCATGGACTTATCTAAAGAGATGAGAGAGAAGAGAGCTTGAAATCTGAACATCCTCAATTTACTGCCGCAACTGAAGGCACATAAATCTATGGGACCTGATGGGATTCATCCCAGGGTGCTGAAGGAGTCAGCCAGTGTTCTTGCTCAACCTCTCTCAGTTATTTGTCAATGATCTTGGGGCTCTGGAGAAGATCCCAGTCAACTGGTAGGTAGGAAATGTTATTCCAGTTTTCAAGGAAGGCAAGAAAGAAGACCCTGGTAGTGATGAGCCTGTCAGTCTCACTTCAGTGCCAGGTAAAATGATGGAGATGATTATTCTGGGAGTTATGGAAAAACGCTTGAAAGACAACATGGTCATGAGTCAAAGCCAACGTGGGTTTGTGTCATACATTGCTAACTTTTAATATCTTTTTAAGACAAGATTACCCACCTCAAAGGCAAAGGGAAGGCAGCAAATGTGGGTGTTTGGGATTTTAGCAAAGCTTTTGATACTGTCTCGCACAGTATCCTCCTGGGCAAAATGTCCAACATGTACACAATCCTGTGGGTGAACAGTTGGCTAGAAGGGTCAGTCCCAAGGAGCTGCAGTAAATGATGTGGTGGGCAGTCACTGGTGGTGGTCCCCAGGGCTCAGTTTTAGGACCAGTGTTCTTCAATGTTTTTATGGATGACCCGGACACAGGGAGTCGAGCGCACACAAGTGAATTTGCTGACAATCTAAATTAGGAGGAAGGTAAGCCAAGCAGAAAAACCAGATTATTTGTTTTGCTCTGAAACTGGTGAGGTCTTCAGCTGTTGCCCTTCTGCGGGAGCAATGCTGGTGTCTGGTCCAGCTCCTGCCAAAGTTGTGTTTCCCATTTTTGCTTCCTGCTCTGTTAATTTTGGAACAGATAACAAAACTGCAGTGGACCATATGGCCAATCCCTGAGTGCTAATAGCTGACTTTTACCTTAGTCAGCATCTCCTCATCCACTGCCAAAATTTTTTTTTTTTTTTTTTTTTTGAGTCTCACACGACAGTAGGGCAGAGGGATAGTGGGAAATACACTGCATTTATACAAGAGGACTCAGTGTTTGCAGAATCAGAAAGACCTGATATATCCACCCACTATTCATGCTGTAACTGTTGATCCCTGGTTATGTAGGTACAACCATCTGGTCTGGAGAGTAGTGGAGTTGCAGGTAGGTTATTGGTGTCACCAGAGTTACATTAATACGTCAGTGCCAGATGCTGCTAGATGCTAAAAGCTTTAGTACCCTAAAAACTTCAGTGGACTGATTGTATATAAAAAGGATTTGATTGTTTTTAATTCTGAAATATCCTTGCTGAAATGTGTGTGTCAATACTTCGTCGTCATACCTAGCAAACTTGAATTGCTCTTTGACCGTGATGTTCTCTTCTCCTCTTCTTCAGGCTACGCCCTCATACCTTCCACTAAATCTGATAACTTCTCGGACTCCAGTCACAGTGAGATTTCATCCCGGTCCAGCATCGTGAGCAACTGCTCAGTGGACTCCATGTCGGCAGCGCTGCAGGACGAGAGGAGTTTGTCCCAGTCTCTCATTGTGGTGGATTCGGGGGGGACAGAGAGGAAAGAGCATCCTCAGCCGCTGACTGACTACGGCCAAACCGGCCCCGGCCAGCCGTGCCCGGGGTAAGATGCAGCTGGTTTGGTCGGGCTCGGTGTCCTGGTGTCAGGACACAGGTATGGACTCTGCTGTGGTTATGCTCTTGTCAGACTACTGGCTGCTCTCCATGGGATGAGCTTGTTTTCCTGAGAAACTTCCAGTATTACTTGAGTATGCAACAGCTTGTTCCCATCGGTGGGGTTCAGGTGGACGTTTCTTGCAGGTGACTGTGAAGATGTTAAAAGCTGGGATGATACTTAACAAATTGCTTCTTAGTGAGAGACAGCAGAACAAGAATGGGATGTTATCAGTTCTCTCTGAGTCAGCAGGGCCAGCCACTTAACATACTCTAATGTGATTTTTAAGGATTTTTGTTGTTACCATTTGTTACTTAGGCGGGCTGGAAGCTTTCTGCCACTGTCTTCCTCAGAGTTTCCATGCACAAGGTCTTGTTACTTTAGTGCCATGAGAACTTGTCCTGAGATGATGCTTTGAACTGGAAATTTTTGATTTTGTCTTACTAGAAGTTAAGCCTCGACCCGTAATATTTAATATGTAGGAATCTTCTTGGAATAGCATCTGTCCTCAGATGTTGTGGATTCAAGTAAATGAGAGATGCTCCTTACATTTCTAATTTTTACAGCTCATCTCTAAAGCAGTATAAGGTTTTTGTGAATAAACTCTATAAAGAGCTGTATGTTGCTTCTGTATAATTGATTATAACACACCAGTGTTCTGTGGTGTTCTCTCCTCTGTAAAAAAGCTTATTAGTGGGTGCTTTGCTAAAGTGGTGCAGCTCTTAAGAAATTAGTGATTTGGTTTATTTCATTGGGCTAAAATGGGAATTTAAAGGTGTGCTTCATAAACTGACTTAATTATCTTTTCTAAAAGGCACAGCACGTGCTGAGAACACGTTTAGTCAGAACAGTAGTGGTGTGTTGAGCGAAATGGCCCTTCATACTGGTTGGGAAAAGCCACCTTCAGCGGTGGCTGAAGTACAGTGGGTCGCACCAGGGATGCTGCTGCGCTCTGAACTCGCTCTTCTCTTTGCAAATTAAAAGCAGATTTGTCATGGCTTGTGGTTGTTCTGTTCTGCCTTAGTTTCAGTGGGTTTTCGAGGGAAGAAAGCAGTTTTTATGCTGGAACTTCTAAAACAGAAAAGCAAGAGGGGAAAAAAAAAGTTGTTTGCACATATCTGAGAAATGTTCTTTGATTTCACAACGTGTCGGTAAACTGCTCAGGAATAGTGTTGAATTTTAATGTTGTGCTGTCCATGCATTTGTTAACCAGAAATAGTTAAGACACTTGAATAATGTCTAGCAATTGTAACTTCATGTATTCTAAATTCATGCAAACTGGCTGTACTTCCCTCCTCCCCCCCCCTTAATTACCTATTGACAGTGATTAGAGCTTTTAGCAGCCGTTTCTTTAAACGACTTTGTGCTTGGGTTTCAGAATCTGTCACTCCAGCTCCCACAAATGTTATTTACGCCCAATATTTCCAAATGTTCTTGAAATACAACTATCTCCACTCCGTCTAAACAACTTGATGTTGCTGCCAACGAAGGGGTTGGGTTTTATTCTAGATATTTATTTTGGTTTCAGTTCATTAATGAAAAAGGTGGTGGTAGGCTGAACCTGGGAGGTAATTCCTGCCTTCGGTCAGGCACTGTCTTGCTGTGGGTGATGTAGGAAAGCTGCAGTGGACCAGAATTGTACAGATCTGGGGTCAAGCCTGTAAATGCCTGTTGCAGACTTGTTATTCCCAAGGGAATAACCACCTGTGTGCAGTAATGTGTCGGGAATAACGGTGTCTCATGTCAGTGCTCCCATGCGCCTTGACCTTCCTGCGTACCTGTTGTAAAACCAGAGATGAGTTGCCTTTAAAACCAGGTAGTTGTCTCTGTGAGTACGTCACTCTTATTTTACAAGGTGTATTTTTTCCTGCTTTTCTGTTGGTTTTCACCTGCAGCTGGTCAATCACGAGGCCCGCTCTCATCCGAGGGATGGCCTTCACGTCCTCCATGAGCAACGAGGAGATCTCCCACGAGCACATCATGGTGGAGGCAGCAGATAGCGGCCGGGGGAGCTGGACTTCATGCTCGAGTAGTTCTCACGACAACTTCCAGAATATCCCAAACCAGAAGAGCTGGGATCTCCTCAATTCTTACCGTCACACCCAGCTGGACGGACCTATAGCTGAAGTCGATCCCACAAACTGTTACTCCGAGGAGGCTTATTTGTATTCCGAAGCCTTTTCCAAAACCAACAGGCAGTCGAAAGGTGGCACGGAGCAGGATCAGTCTCGGCAGAGCTGGGCCTCCTCCAGCTCGCTGTCAGACACCTACGAGACAAACTATGGGACCATTAAGCGGAGGGGGCTGGAGACCTCCACAGCAGAGCAGACGGAGGTTTTGGACTCTAAAGCGGGCGCTGATGCAACTTACAAAACTGTTACTTCGAGCACAGAGAAGGGCCTGATAGGTAAGCCAAGCCAACAGCTCTTGGAAGCTTCTACATCTGTTTTTCGTTGCGATATTAAGTTGTTAAGAAATTACATCAGCAGGTCTCGGGGCTGGATGGCATGTTAAATTCAGCTTTACATGTGGGTTTGATCAGAACACTACGCACACGATGTGTTTTCAAGCCACCTTCTTTTGCATTAGGAAGGTTGAAATAATAAACCAGCACACTTCCCAGTCACTGTACGGGTCTGCGGGAGAGCTGTCTTCATGAAAACGTCAGGCAGTTCCTCTCAGTAGTATGACCTTTTATTTTTTTGGACGATTTTGGAAACACTCACCACTGTAGACGTTCCTCTGGCAAGGAGCAATGAGCATGGCTTCTTGAAGTCCATATGATACGGACTTTTCCATGGACCTGAGAGGGAATAGCATGATGGTTGAGTGGTACAGAGCTCTCCCACCTCTCTGGAGCTGGGACACCTCAATTCCACAGGGCTTTGGTCTTTGAAAGCTCCTGTCTATCTTCGCTGTGTTAAACTGCTATTTATTTAGTTATACAACTGCAGTTTGGCTACACATAAAAGGGGAAAAACTTAAAATATCTTTTCAAAGATGGATAGTTCTGCCGAGCAAGATGTTCTTTCCCTGTCCTAGTGAGTTTAGCAGCCAAAACTAAAGGAACTGGGTTAGGAACAAGATAAAACATGGAATGCAAAGCTTTCTAGACTAAGTCAAGGGTGCAGATGAAATGCAATTTAATTACTGACTAGATTGCTTGAGGGGTTTATGTTATCAAAGGTAATTGCCTGAATAAACATTGCGTGTAGGATGGAGGTCTTGGATCGCGTTCCTCCTTGTTGGCTTTGTAGAAGAAAGGCAGTGTGGTGGAGCCTTGCAAGAAAACTCACTCACAGCTCACTGCTGTGGCTTCCCTTAACCACTGGGTAGAATTTCACCCCATTCTCGTTATGATGTGGATATTTGAGTCATCAGCTGCTTGGGAAGGAGGGTTCCTTGTGAAAGGTGGGTGACAGAATTATGGATGCTTAAGGGCTCTTAGAATGTTTTATTTTGATAGAATTCGAAAAATATTATGAATCAGAACTTCACAAAAGGGCACGTTACTCTTACTTTTGTTACTACAGTAGGCTAGATAGGAGTTCTAGGAAGCCTGAAGCTTTCTTCTTTAAAGGAGAATATATCCATCTTCATCAGTCCTTCTGCAAAGCCAATGAAGACCAAAGGTGGGGGTTTTGCTCAGAGGACCCAGCCCTTCTCCATCCCTTCAGGGAGAAGAAAGCCTCCTTTGCTTCCCCTGCTTTCTTGTCAAGGCGCAGTTAAATGCTGGTTAAATGAAAACTGTTCCAGTTAATCGGTATAAATCTCTGCCTGTACCCACATCGTATCTGCTATAACCCTGACTACCTCCATGGAATTTTATTTTCCTGTAAGCCCAAACATGTACTGAGGCCATCAACTACCAGCACCCAGAATCTCAGAAGTCCACAACACAATCAGAAATACTCCTTCATTTTCACCCTTTCACGTTCTTGTAAGATAAGCAAATACTACAGTTGCTGAAATAAATGAAACTGCAATAAACATCCAGTGTTTAAAATATATCCACAAGGAGAATGCAAATTCACTCAACTAATTTTTAAAACTGATCCTAGCTTTGAGACTCTCCTGTTGCAACATGCACATGGGAAAAGCCCAATTTAACATGCGCATGAGCCCCAGACCTGGGGGCGGGTGGGAGGGGAAAGAACTTAAAAAAAGTGAATTTTGGGTTGAACTGCCGATGATCGGGGAAGGAAACTACGGACATGATAAGCTGTGTTTACTATTAAAAAATGCAAAGTGACAAATGCAGGCTCTGTATACAGTTTGGCTCCCAGGAGCAGTTCATGTGATACTAAGGGGTTTTTTTCTTGCTATAGTATAGCTGGTTGGATGGTTTAAAGTCTTACTACACTTCCAGTACTTAAAGGGGGCCTACAGGAAAGCTGGAGAGGGACTTTTTACAAGGGCATGTAGTGATAGGACAAGGGCCAATGGCTTTAAACTGAAAGAGGGCAGATTTAGATTAGAAAAAAGGAAGAAATTTTTCACTCTGAGGGTGGTGAGGCACTGGAACAGGTTGCCCAGAGAAGCTGTGGCTGCCCCATCCCTGGAATTGTTCAAAGCCAGGTTGGATGAGGCTTTGAGCAACCTGGTGTAGTGGAAGGTGTCCCTGCCCATGGCAGGGGGGTTGGAACTAGATGATCTTTGAGGTCCTTTCCAACCCAAACCGTTCTATGATACTATGAATTGATGCAATGATGTTTTATTATAATGAATTTCTGTTAAGCCACTGATGGGTGACCAAGTGGATGTTGTTGGAAGTCAACCAACAGTTCTTCCGATGGGATGCTGGCACTAACTTTGGGCGAGTTGCCTTAATTGCTTCTCACTCCGTTTTGCAGCCCGTAACGGAGCGTGGCAGCAGGCTGAGCCAGCAGCGTGGCCGTGCGGGCGCTCCGGCCGTGCCGTAGAGCTGCTCCGTGTCCCGCGGCGGAGCGATGCCGCAGGAGTAGGGACTATAATGAGCACTGCAATAGCAAGCTGAAGGTAGAGGAGGTTGTAGTCTTAAAACAAGTAGAAAACATAAAATGAAAGCATAAAGATCTGCTGCTGTCGTTATAACCAGTGTTTCTGCATTTGCATTTTGTTATCAGTTTCTGTTTTGCCATTGTAACATTTCATGATTTTTTAACGTTTTGTTTCCTTTGTTTTCTTCTTTAACATTTCCATTGCTTATTTCTTGTGCCAGTGTACTGTGTCACCTCACCTAAGAAGGACGATAGGTATAGGGAGCCACCGCCCACCCCTCCGGGATATATGGGGATTTCTTTAGCGGACATAAAGGAAGGATCGCCCCACCACCCACACCTAAAACCTCCAGACTATAGTGTGGCAGTGCAGAGGTCAAAGATGCTGCACAGTGACCTCTCTAGACTTTCATCAGCTTCTCTCGGTAGCGAACCGGTGGCCTGTATCTCATCGAAGATGCCTCAGTGGCATAGTCGGCAGCCGTCCAAGCCCAATCTAGCAGATATGACTGGCGCAGATAGTGAAGAGGATGGTATGTGCAACACCTGGCTCGGTAGATGTTAAGTGAACTGCTGTGTGAATCTGGTCTGTGCAGTGTTTACTTCGCAACGATGTTCTGGGCTTTCTCTTGGTCATTCTCGGAGATTAAAACTCGATTAATCTCTAAATATACAAATCCGTTTGTATGGCTGTATACACATGCCTATATGTATGCATGTGTATACATGTTTAAAAAAAAAAAAAAGAATGCCTTCCCTTCAGAAAAAGCATGTTGACACCGAACAGACTTTAAATTATATGCAAATAATCATATATATATATATAAATATACATATGAGATCTCCCAAAGCACAACTGAGACACTTAAGAGCATGTAGATACTACTTTATTTCTTTAAAATCTGTCCACTCTCAGTGGTGATGATGACTTCAAGGGACACTGTCAGGCTACAAAGGACACGCAGAAAAACTCCAGCCTTTTTGGGTTGGTTAACTGCTGTCCTGCTGGTTTAGGATGAGCGTCAGGATGATGACCTAAAACGAGTATTTTGAAGATGGATTTGGTGGGTTCTTGTACAACTCTTGTTTCACCTTTGTATTCTCACATGCTAGCGCTAAGCTGCCTTATTGCTCAACAGAGATTTCTGGAGATTGGGATTAAAAACAATACACAAAATAAGTGTGTTTCTGTTCTTCTGAAAAGTGCATTTGATAAAACCTGACTTCTCAGCCCAACTTGGCCTGGCAGTGTCTCTTCCAGTTAAACTCTTCATGATCTTGTTTGAAGCAACAGCCAACGCTGCCGAGCACGGCATGATTTGGGTGACCAAAATGCAAGAGATTTTTCTGAGAAAGACTGCTCTTACGTTGTGTCAAAACTAACTTCAAGATAGAGGAATTGCTACTTGATTGTTTATCTGCTGATTTGCTTGCAATACCTGTGTGCTGATGTGATCTCTCTGTACCCTCTGCTAGTGAACTCGTTTTTTTTCTAGAATCTTGTGGTCGTTTCCTTCAATTTCAGTCTGGCTTAAAATGAGCGTGGATTTAGATGAAAACAATTTCTGATGCAAAATGATCCTATTCTGGCCCTTTGAAATACATAAAGAGTATTTAACATATATATTAGTACTGCATTTCAAACTTAGGGTAAAATGTAAAGTTGCCCAGCATTAATTCAGTTGTGATATTAAATGTTTTTGATGTAAAAATAAGGAAGGAATTGCTTCAAACATTTTAATCCGAATTTTTCTAAACTAAATTTAACCATACACTTTTTAGATACACCTATTTTACTATTTTTAAAGTGCCTGGTTAATTTTATTTGGAATACAAATGCTCACTGCATGTTGGAAAGTAATTTACTGGCTTTCCTCCCAAATCAGTAGCTTTTGGGATATTGGGAGCTGCATGCTAATGATTTTCGGAAGATCTGGAGTTTTCTGTTTCGCAACACGTCATTATTGTATGATATCATACCTCAGTCTAATTGAGGGTTTGTTGAATGGTGATGCTGAATATGTTGTGGTCGATCATTAAGAGAGTGAAAACATCACGATGAAGTGGTGAAGCCTTCACAGCACCACTGTAACCAAATAACTGGGTACTGTTCTGTACCCTCTGCCTCCAAAGCAGGGGACCGAGGGAATAATTACTCTTTTTTTTCTTCTGGTTTTTGTTTTGTTTTGCAGAAGATGAACAAGTATCAGCAGTCTAACCATCGGGCTGTTTGTGTGAACCGCTTCACGCCGCGGGGGATGTGGGGAGAAGGACCCCACGGTTCTGTTGGCCAACGCTAACAACTTGCTGCTGCTCACCTCGGACGTTGCGTTTGCCTCTGTCACGGACGAGATGGAACGGGCTGGGTTACATCTCTCTACCTTACTTCATCCCACCACCACCTAAGAAACCTATTTCTGCCTGGGAAATAAAAAGCCGTTTCCAAGGAGCCTCCACTGACTACCTGGATACCGACATTGGTATCTGGAGCTGGACCAGGCTTCATGCATTCGGGAGGACCAGTTGTCACCACCACCTGAAACTTGGAAGCATTCTTCAGTATGATACCATATAACCCTTCGGCAGATTTCCATCCTCGTTATTTTCTACATGATCGTTATAAGTCTAAGAGTGTTATTTTATGAACTTTTAAAAAAAAAATATATCAAAATGTCAGCAAAAGCGAAGGACGTTGCTGCAGTATCTGAAAATAATTTATTAATTTAAGGGTTTTTTTTTTTGATGGGAATTTCCTTTATTTGTGTTGGGAGTGCTCTGGTTGGCTAATATAAATGTTTGGTCAATGTGATGGTAAATTAGCTACGCAGAAACTGTGCTCTCAAACACAGAAAACTAGAAATGGGACGTGATCAGATGCAGAAATACCTGGATGTTAGAGTGGTTTTAGGTTCAATATCAATAGAGCACGAAGCCCCGCAGGCAGCCCTGCCGTCTGCCGCTCCCCTCCTTCCCGGACCCAGCAAAATCCCTCTGCCCTTGAAGGATTTTTGGAAATTTTTTAGCTGCCAGCCAACTAAGGCAATAGTTGGTTCTCTCCTGCCCTAGTAAGGAGTCATTGGAGAGGTGGGAGCCATAGCTCCCGCAGCTGTTAGGGGAGTTTGAAGCTTTCCCGAAAGAGCTTTAACTGGTTTTTGCCCTGCAGAGCTCAGCATGCAAAGCGTGCTGCTAGAAACCAAACCCAAACCGTGTGTTGTGGCTTCTAAGATCATCCCACGCGTTCTGGCCTTTTCCCAGAGTTGCACAGGATTTGGGTGCAAAGGTTATCTTGAAAAAATAAAGTAAAATTATAAATCACCTTCATTTCACAGTAAAATTTGTGAAACTGAGTATTAAATGACATAATGCTTACGTAAGAGTATAGTGCATTTTATGATGGGTTAAAAACCCTGTTGTGTTCATCTGGGAAACACAGATGATCTCAAAAGGTTTTGTTTTTTAAATCCTAGGGTAAAAATCCTGGTGGTGTTGATGTCAATGACAGTTTTGACTTGCAGCCAACCAGTATTAACACGTGATCCTCCAGTTTGACTGTTGTCAAATAAATTGTTTGATTTTTGCTTAGCCAGCCAGAGCGCAGAGGGGTAAAACTGGAAATACCTGCAGTTTCTTTCTTTCTTTCTTCTAGCACATGATCCTCCATTCTAGTGTTAAAATTGGACATGAATGTGTGAGTATGTATTTAAACATTTAATTGTAAATCTTTGTTGTGATGTTTACAGCCTAAGCTAGAAAGATGATGTTTGTCCTTTTTACAGTGCCTCAAAAATGATTTCTATATCCCTAGTTGTGAAGAGCTTTAAGGTTGGTTTGTATTTTTTTTTTTTTTTTCCCCTGTCTGTGTGCAGGGGGTGCGAGGTGAATGCAACGTTTTCTGAAACCGTCACAAGTACCAAAAACAACCCAGAGCCTTTGATGTGCTTTCCCCACAGCAGCCTGGGACTGGTACTGCTGGGTGAACGTGTAGGACCAGCCTGTGTCCACCTTGGTAGCGGTGCCAGGTTCCGTGTCAGCGTGTGGCTGGAACTCCCCCGTGTTGATGGGAATTCGGAGCACGTAACCGACCCGCGATGCTGGGGAGGGGATGCTGAATTCATAACTTAATTGGTTGGCTGTGTGAATTTTTGGCACAAGTTTCTGAGGAGTGCATGGCTGAAAAAAAGATGGTAAAGATCGGTTGAGGTATATCATGATAAATTAATTTTCCTTTTTTTGAGGCCTTAATGAATATAACGAACCTGCACAGGCCTTAATGGGTAAAGATTAATGTAAGTGTCAAAGCAATGCAGGGCAGAGCGATTATTTTCAGCTCATGTAATGTTGAGAATATAACTGTTAAATTGATGTTTTTGTGGGATGTAAATCCGAGTCCTAGCAATCCCACCGTCAGCTGTAGTTGCTTCTGTAGTGAACTTCTCCGTGGAGTGTGCAACAGGCTGCGTGTTTCATCGGAAAACCGTCAGTGTCGTGCCAGGTAAATTAAATCACACCATTCCCATCACCTCGGGTGTTGAGCTGTAGTTTACTTCAGCCTGTTGAACAAAAGTCTGAGGGATAAGGGGTTGTTACTGAAGTGACTTCCTTTTTCCCCAAAAACCCGACAGTGCTGTCTTTGAGGATACGGAGAAGCTCGAATACGGGTTGGGGTCTCCTCTGGCAGCCGTAAGAGCAGTTGAATAAATCACCCCCCGAAACGTGGTGTTTGCACATCAACAGCATCCGTCGGTTCTGCAGGGCTTTTCCGGGCGCTGAAAAGTTTGTAAAGTGAGTGAAAGTCTTGCTAATCATATTTTCCTACTATCCAGTACAGCTGGTGTAAATAAGTCACCCATGAGCTATGGAGAAATGAGCTACTACTACTTCTGCTTCTCCTGCCTCGCGCAGTGTGGTTTGCCTCTGCTGGCCCTCGCTGGGGTTTTTGTTTGTTTATTTGTTTTTAAATCAACCGATCACATTGATCGGGGCCGATAGCCGAATGTAGTGTGTCTGGTATGGATTTGAAGAGACATTATCCCTTTTTTCAGTAATTCAGATGGAAGTAAGACGGTGGTTAGGACCTGTTGTGCGCTGTTTTATCGAAGTGACGTCGTCTGGATCACAGTTTCCTGACGTGGTACCTCTGCCAGGTTCCTCCAGCTTGGGTCTGACTGCGATGGGATACACCTTGTGTCACGTTCTTCCACTGCCCTGCCTCGCTTTACCCACTTTCTGCTGCTTGTTTGCTCTTGACTTGCAGGTGAAAGACGTGTTTCAGCTATTTGTGATTTAACCACACAGTATTTCGTTCTGCTTCGTAAATCTGGAACTTCCACGTAACTCCTGAAAAAGCAGAGCAGTTTTGTAAACTTGAATTGGCCTCTCCAGCTGCAGGAAGGGGAAAATGAGATCCTGAGCCTCTGAGTACTGCTTTCATCTCCCAAATGTACAACAAAAACCCGGAAAGGTGATGTTTGCAGTTTGTGTTTTTGCAGTGGGCACATGCAGGAATGGGTGAGCATCTGCTGGCAATGGGCAATGTGCTGCTCCCCTGGCCCATTGGCTTTGCCT